AAATTGGAATCTACATAATCGAAAGTGTTTATGTCTACTAACATAAAAAAAGTTAATAAAATACAATGAGTTTAAAAATATTTTTAACGAAGTTCATAACTTAGCAAATCCTTTGTTTGAAAAGAAACAGTATTAGTTCATCGTGCCATACAGATGTGCTCTAGACGTCCTGATTCATGAGCAATTAAGGTGACTGCCAGCAGCCAAAACAATCGATCGTTGCAAATGGCCGGCCGGGCCGCGCGGTGCGCACGTACCGCACTCGCCCCAACCAGAATCATCACGACACATTTGACGTAAAATATCATTAGCCACATATATGTATAGTATACACAAAATTCCACTCTTTTGACTTAATATTAATTAGGGGATAAACTAGCTATTTCCCGTAACTTCGCCGCATTTAATTAAAAACGGTCATTTCATGGTAGAGTTTTCAAAAAACCGTTTTATTTTCCGATATATTATATCTCTATTCCAAATTCTATCGGTTGTTAGGCGTTATAAGGCAACAAACATCCAGAATGTAGAATTGTAGGGATGGGTTCCAAACTTTCGTGATTATAATACGATGATAAGTCGAGTCGATAAACATACAACTATGATACGTTGTGAATGTGGTTAAGTCAAAAGTTTCAGAATTTTCCCTTCAAATTTAATAAATTTATATAAATGCAGAGGTATTGTTAAATCTCTGGGTGGTATGAGGGAGTATAAATTAAATATCCATAGAATAATATTGCCGTAGGCTTTATTCAAATGAAGACTATCCATAAAAGATTGCGGATATCTCAAGTAGGCAGCGTGCAAAGCGCATCCGCAAATTTTAAATAGAGACGCGTTTACGTATGGAGGGTACTTGTGTGCGAAACGTATTGCAGCTGAGCCCGCATAGTTGGACCACCCTCTGACAGTGCAAAAAAACTTATGTATACGTAGTTAGCTCTCCCTCGTCGTCTTAATAATAGGACAAATTACTGTAATGGTTTCCGAACGATTCTTGTTTGTGTAGCTATAGATTTATCGAGGAGAAAGTCGATAACCCCTTAATGCCAATTAAGCCTGCTTATTCGTGTATTTGTTACGCGTTGTTCATAAATAAAAATATGAAAACTTTTTTTATTGCTTAACATAACTAATTTAGTCAAAAATTATTTAAATTTTCTAATCATATTGTTATGTAGTATGTCCATTCGTTTAGGAAATCATACGCAATCGGAAGACAATAGCCATTTTTTGAAGACTTGTCCTAAGATTAAGAGTCTTTGACCATTTGATTGTTGATATACAAGAAACCCAGACAGTCAGTCTGTAGGTTTCCACGGTACAAATACTTCTTGAGCAGTTTATATAATAATAAAAAAGTAATTGAATGATAACCTCGTAGATATAAGGTGATCAATGTCAAATAGTTTCACCTCTCTGTTTAAATATTATATCGGTAACTTGTTATAACGACCAACGCTAGTTTATGTCTTAATTCGTATCTAAATTTACATAACATACCTACTAATTTACAGATACTTTGTACTATAATTAAAGCAGAACCTTTCCAGTTAAAAAAGAAACTAAAACTTAAAAAATCTAAAAACTGTCAAATGTAAGTAATGCAACTGTACCTATTTTTGTTATATCTGAATGACTCACTATAATCCAAGTGTCTGCAGTTACTGTAATTTTTTTGTTTGTCTTGTTTTTATAGTGATCACTTATCATACAGATATCATCATAATAATAATTTTATGCTTGTTTTATTATCATTAAAATATTGAAACGTTTTATTTTTTCATTGTTACATTTTTGATCGTTATGTCCCAGCAAAATTATACATTCACGGCATTACGTATAACGAATCAGACGTTTGAGTCAATTTTTTCTGAATTTCAATTCGATGACATCTGAAAAATTCATACAAAACCAAAAAAAATGCCATGGCCTAATTGCGCGAAGCGTAAGGACAAGATTGTTTGTGAATGAATAAATAGATCGAGATGGATCCATGAATGGCGGAGTTGTTTGCGAGTTGATTTAATAGTTTTGAGACTTCCTCTGCCTATGCAAACAACTGCAGGCACCTTGGCACCAGAGGTTGTTAACCGGGACATTAGACGGGGCACAATTGAGGCCAGTGTGCGCGAGTTCAAGATCAATTTAGGTTCCGTAGGTCAGTTCGCCGAAGGTAACCTTGACATTGACAACAATACTACAAGAAGTGACACTTATTTTGTACTTAATGCATATATTGAAAGTATTTACACATTTTTATTCCATAATAAACGTGAAATTTCATGTAAGAATCATTGCAATTTGAAGGTTGGTACCTAGTCATATCTTTTCTTTATCAATGTAAGTGCTGCTTAATATATTAAGACAGAAACAGAAGTTTTGTTATCACGTCTGTAGTCTTACGTAGATATGTAATAGAAGTGATTAACCATTTGGTAAAAAAAAAAACGAAACATTTCACCAGCCAATTTAAATGACGATTAACTACTGTCATTTGATATTTTATGTAATTTATATGAATCGATTTAGGATACCGATGTAGAGTTTGGAAGAATACGATCATACCAAATGTCGGTCAAATATATCACGTATTTGTTCTGAACTATGAACATAAAATGTTAGAATGTTAAAAATGAATTCATTTTAAACAAGATTTCTAGTTTATCTTCACAAGTGGCTTTCGGCTGAAAATTATCTTTTATTTTGCAATGTATGGAAATTTCTCAAATTGTGATTTTAATTTAGATACAATATTTTACAGACTTTGTCGTAAAGTTATCCGTGGTAACGAGTAATAATTTATAACATCTTCTTTCCCAAGAAGTTAATATTATGTCGTTGAAAATAGCACAGAGCATAAAAGCGTCGCGACGAATTTCCAGGAGACAGGACAGGAGAGTCAGACAGAAAAAAAAGAAACTGTTTGTAAATTAAATGGACGAGGACGTTGCGGCCGGTCGATGCTCGCTTAGGGTTGTTTTATATTTTTTCGTGATTTTACATTAATCTTAAAATCATATCTATCTCTCATATCTATCGTAAAATTTACTTTCAACTATAGGGTTTATTTATAGTTTACGACATATATAAAAAAATATTATGTTACAAATATATAAATAAGTAAATATGTTTATTTGCTAGTGATGCCCAGCTTGAGAGTGGACCTGTGGGAAAAGACAGAATTTATATGGTTTGAAAATTAAATTATTTGTTTTAATTGGTTGATACATTCTATGTGAAAAAAATCGGAAATGCAGATTGTTTATGCAGTCACATCCCTATTCGCGAAAATAAAAAGAGGATGAGACGATGGTGCGTGATTGTTGATTGCAATATATTATGTACTTACTGCATCAATGCAGTCAGGACGTCGATTTCAATTCGACCACATCCTGCTTTCTCAAGATTTACTTACTATTGTCGAGGAGAGGGGATAATTTGCCAACCCGCCATACCGATTATTTTGTTAACTCGTCAACTTGCAATTTATCGTTTTATTTTCACACTTTTAAATTGGTTTTGCTTTTTATTTCAATTCAGTTTCATTTCATGTCCAAATCGGCCTCTTGATACCAAATTATCAGTTAGTAAACTATATTTATATATCTTATGTAATTCTACGCGATTTTTATAAACATATAAAACTTTTATCTAAAACCTAAAATATACTATCGTTCTTTATTAATATTAGGTATCAGTATTGTGTTTGCAGAGGAAGTCTTGAACTGCAAATGATTAAAATAATAAAAGTAGGGCAATCGTCTTTAAGGACCCTGTGTCGTGCTCCACTACCGCGCTCTTGTGTCGACCATGACCCACAATAACATTAAACTCAATTTTAGGTTATGCTTATCAACTTTGCTGAGCTCTCTTCCACTTCTACTAAAATGCATTTATTTATTCTATTGCTATGAATTACCTAGTATTGATAACGATTTATATAATCTGATACTTATATAACGAGACAAAATTAATATTAATGAGTCTTTGACCATTGTAATTAGGTGAATTAAAACTCATGGGAACTTGGATACCCGCTTCGAATTTGTAACCACTTCGAATGTTCCTCATTTGTCATATATTATATCTTTGACTGATTTTCAAAAAGGTAATGTAAGGGACAATACTTTTAGACTATTTGGTAAATTGTAGGTATTAGTAATAAAATAAGAAGATAAAGAAGTTTACCTAATTATGTATTCATAAGGGATAGTTCATTGTTGCGCGGTATCCATTGTGCATTGTTTGTTATCGCGTGCTCGTTCGGATTCGCTGCGGTTTTTGGTAGTTTTACAAAGTGGCGTCTGTATTAGATGTATACCTATAAATGTTTTATATTCAAATCGATTTCATTCAGTATTAGCTTCTAGGTGTGCAACATATAAGCAACTGGATTTATTTAAAGTTAAGTAATTTGTTAACCGACATTGATACAATTCTGAATATTTATTTTTTATTTAAATCTCGAGACTGTAATCTGGTGTTTGATTTTATGTTTAATAACGCAGTACTGTATGTATAACAACTAATTAAAATCATTTCTTCTAAAGAACTCATCAGTCATAGTTACTACTAAGATCCCCAATAAGTTTCACAGGTAGAGAGTAGAATATGGTAGAATATAGCTCAGCACGAACCACCTCTAGCCTAAATTGTAAACTAATACGCAACTAATTAATTACCTATATAGTATCTTATCTATTGTTAATTATTAGGGTAGTGCCACATAACTCAAATCAAAGTTCGTTTGTTTTACGCGCCAAAATACATCTCTTCGGTTTAGTTTGTTCGGTTCTTGTAATGAACTTACGGTAAAAAAATAATAATATTTATAATTAAGTGTCCATTGATGTACACATAAAAATGACAGTAAATCTTTAAATCATCTTGTATTTAAGTTTATGTTTATGGCTCTCGTGTCCTATGAGCACGTGTTGCAATAAAAAACAATACCATCGTTTTCATGAAATGACATTGACAATGTCTATCTTGACAGTGACAGTCGTGTAATCGCTTTACATCACCGAAGATGGGTTACGAAATTAAGTTTTAACGATACGAAAATATTATATTTTTATACTTAGCATGATAGAATGTCTTAAAATGTTCCAGAATAATAATTTATATTGCATCTTGTTATTTTTATAGTATTTTATAGTTATTTAAAAAAGTGTAACCTCCATTATGTTTGCTCAAAATTCATATTACCATATAAATTCTATCATAAAATATCCTTGGAAGCAATGTAAACAGTGCATAAAACTACTATCGTCTCAAGTTTTGGAGCATAACGTTGTTAATGAAGGTCCTTGGAATTTGTACACGGAAAAGGTAGCCAACAAAATTTTAAGTCCAGATACTCATCAAGAAAAGGTTGTGCAGCATCTACAAAAAGTTTATCAAGAAGTAACAACGTTTAATCGACCTACAATACAATCACCGCAGAATGCCTTATTTAGATTTTTTAAGAGAAAAGAACCGGAAAAGATTATAGCACCTAAAGGCCTTTACATATATGGAAGTGTAGGAGGAGGTAAAACCATGCTAATGGACCTATTTTATGAAACAGTGCCCGTAAGTAATTATAGGAACCTATAACATGTAGTTATTCTTTATAATTTATAACTAAAAGTAATTTCATATAACTCCTAGATTAAAGAAAAACTTAGAGTGCACTTTAATTCATTCATGTTGAATATACATTCAAGAATTCACGAACTGAAGATTCAATCAGGAAAAGGTGCAAGTTCCTTTAGAGATGAGGCCTCAAAACCTTTTGATCCAATACCTCCAGTGGCCGCTGATATCACACAGGAGTCATGGCTTATCTGTTTTGATGAATTTCAAGTAAGGGTATACATTAATAATACTGTCATTTATAAATTTACCAATATAATTAAAATAATTTTATTTATTAAATATTCCTAAAATTATTGAACTTAATTATACTATCCTTATGTACTTTTTTTAAAGATTATGTCATCACAAAATCTAATCTAAAATTATGTATTGTAACATTTATTTTATGAGTCATATTACACATTGCTACATATTTTAATTTATCAGGTAACAGATATAGGAGATGCAATGATTCTAAAGCGACTGTTCACTCAACTCTTTGATAATGGTTGTGTTATCATAGCAACAAGTAATAGGAAGCCTGATGACTTATATAAAAATGGTTTGCAAAGATCAAACTTTCTTCCTTTCATACCTATATTAAAGGAGCACTGTTCAGTTATACAATTAGATTCCGGTATAGATTATAGGCTAAGGGGCTCTGGTAATAAGTATAGTAAGTTTTTCATGTAAGTATGCATTATTTACTTTCATAAAGAATAGTTTAAATTATTTTATTTATTTTCTTATTAATTGCGTTTTGAGATTAAAACACAATTCAGATGAAAACGCAATTATTCATAGATATGAAAATTAAGATTTTTCTTTATTTTTCTAAAATTGAAATATAAATATCTTGTTTAAAATTATATACAGAGTGAAATAATATCTAAGTGTAAGGAAACTTCTATATTAGTTGCATACACATAATGACTTTTTAAAAATGGCATTATTTGTGACATGCCTAACTACCTAATAAGTATATGGTGTCATCAATTCAAATAATAGCCAGACAATATACACCTTAATTCTTAAATGTAATAAAAATTGTTATTTCAGTAATAGTGAACTGAATGAAGATAATAATGCTGTCGATACCCTTTTTAAATATCTTGTATCAATGGAGACTGATACTGTTAGACCTAGAGTTATCAACATCATGGGAAGAAATGTGAAGTTTGCTAAATCCTGTGGCAGAGTCCTGGATTCAACATTTGAAGAGCTATGTGATAGGGTAAGATGTATTCAAGTAATGATAAATTTTATATATCAATCAATATTCAGAAAGCAAGAATTATATCATAAATTGAGTTGGTTAATCTTATTAATACTAGAAATGTAAACAATTGGATTTATGAATAGATGTATGAATGTTTATATGTGCATAACAGGTCAAAAGATGTCAATGAAATTTAGCATAGAGTAAAGAGTCTGGAAGAACAAAAGGGGTACACTAATAAAGTTTTTTTTTAAATTCCATGCTGATCAATTCAAGGGTGGCTGCTAGTTTTTTTATATATATATATTTGAATTGGATAACATAGTGTATGATATGAAATTTTAAATTAACATTCTGTTATATTAATTTATATAAATCAAAAAGCAAAAATAAATATAATAGTAATAACTAATTAAATTTTTACTTCCAGCCACTGGGTGCTAGTGATTATCTTGTGATATCAAAGACGTTTCATACTGTGTTCATAAGGAATCTTCCACAACTATCTATAATGAAACATAGATCTCAGCTTCGTAGATTTATTACCCTTATTGACACCTTGTATGATAACAGAGTTAGAGTAAGTAAAAACACAATAAGAAATAACAACAAATTATATTATTATTTACAATTTAATAATTCTTGTATTAATTTATTATCTTTTGTTTTATAGTAATTAAATGGTTTGTTGTTTAGGTTGTTATTGTTGCGGATTGTGAACCAAAAGATCTCTTTAGAATGGAGGAAAAAGATGAATTTGGGGATGCGGATAGAGCTCTTATGGACGATTTGAAGATAACTAAAGATTCGGTAAGTTCAAACACCATCATAACCCGCTGAAAATACTTGTATTAAAACATATTGTTATCTCTATACAAAAAGAAAATGAGAGAAATATTAAGACATTTTCCAGTGCCAGAGTGGAAATCTTACTAATATTATGCGAATGTTTGGATGGATGGATGTTTGTTAGAAGGTATCTTCAGAGTGGCTGCATGGATCTAGCTGAAATTTGGCATAAATGTAAAATATAGTCTGGAGGAACATCAGCTACTGATATGATTTTTTTTATTACGCATGGACGGAGTCGAGGGTGACACCTAATGTTACAATAAATATTTATATACAGGATGATGCCAAGGCAGCCATATTCACTGGAGAAGAAGAAATGTTTGCGTGTGATAGATGTCTTTCGCGTATCATGGAAATGCAAACAGATGAATATTGGGATAAATGGGGGAAGAACGTCAACTGATTGTAACAATAAATATAGTTAATTTATAAAACCCGACTGACCGGAGGATCACTATAAAACAAATATTCATAATTCTTTATTAATTATAAAATAATTTAAAGCAACATCAGCCTATTTGTGGTGCTATCTGGCATCAGACTATTGCCATGAAGTAGGTTAAGCTTACTCGGAATGGTAAATATTTTTCCATTATCTTTTAACACAAAAATCACATATGTTTAAAATAGGTACTAACAATTCAAAATTCAAATCAGTCAAGTTGTTTTTGGAACAGATGAACGAATACACATAAGCCTTAATTCTCTTAATGGTCAGTCGGGTAAAATATCCTTAGTAAATGTGTTCTTTATCTTAGTCAAAACTAACCATTTAACATATCTTAATATTGTACCTAATGTTTTGTCGTTTTTGTAATATAGCAATAGTGTTGAGTACCATTAGTACAAAGAAACATTATTAGGTAAATAGTTAATGCAGTATTAACAGTCATTTCCAACGTAATTAGAGATTTGTTATTTAGTGTTATATATTTATTAAAAAGTAGTCTTGTATAGTAGAAAATAGATGTTCGATGAAATTGTTTTCGTATACATTTTTTTTTAATTTATTCTCGATCGCACAACGAGGTACTATGTTCATATTAATTTGTTATATACTTGTGTACAAATAAATAAAAGAAATGTTTTATATATGGAGATGTTTTATTACACCGTATGGGTTACATTGTCCTTATAATCTAATCGTATATGTGGCTGTAATATTCTTGGTATATCTGTATGTACGTCTCCTTCTCTGCGGGCGACATCTTGGCGATTACGTCATCGTCGACGCTAGTCAGCGGTACCGCTTTACCGTTCACTATCACCGTTGGAGCGTTGTCCTCAGATTCTGAATCTTCGCTCTCCATCTCAGCTGTGAAAAGAGAATTAATACATGTTTATTAAGACTTTAAAAGCATTATAAAGTACTATTAAATGTGCGAAAGGTCGCTGGTTCAAATCCGGCTCGAAGGGCCATTAAATTGTGCTATGAATATGCTCTGATGGCTTCTGAAATAAATTTTCTGAATAACCATTGCCCTAATTAAAAACTGAATTTAGTCCGATAGTTTTTATATTGAAAATATACTGAATATGTTTAGTTTAATTAATATATACAAGAAAATAAAGAGATAAACGAAAAAGGTTAAAATACACTGAACCGCAGTGCCGGTGTTGCCGCAATAACTATTGGTACCTTTGTCTATTCCATGCTGAGTCTGTAACTTACCAACAGCTGCGAGTTCGTCTTTAAGCTTGTACGGATCTTTGGATTCGTTGTCACTGGAGTCGGAGCTGTCAGGTTCTATACCTTTCACTGCGTTAGACACGTTGTTTCCTGCAATAAAACTCACCATTTGTAAACTCAAAAAAGGTTTCTGAAAGGTCAATCGATTTAATTTACGATTAGCTTCTAATAAAACGTCGTTTAACATAAATTGCGTTGCCAGAACATATTTTAAAGATATTTAATTTCATAATCATATGACATGATATAGAAATTATAGTTATTAGTTAAGAAAAACATGTTTTTCAGTAACCGTTTGTACGGAGATATGTAATGAGGGTACTCAACCTGATGTATTTTGTTTCTCGTGTGCGAGCAGGACAGACATAATATCGTCGTTCTTCTCCTTTCCAGTGCCTTTAGAGTTGCTTGCGTTGCTAGCGGCTTTCTCAAGTGCCATGTCTGACGAATGCACACTGTCGCCCTGTAAGAAAAATAAATAAATATAATAATTAACTTAAAAATTATAATACAATTACCGATAAAAAATATGATTAAGTACTTTGCCCTATTAACGCGTGACTAAAATAGATTCCATTATCAATCGAGTTCGTCACTGATTGGTATGACAGGTCAATAAATGAGCCTGGTATGTAAAAATAAGAACGACATAAACTTGGGAGTTAAGAGGACGTGACGTTACCTGGTCGGTGGCGATGGTGCTCTCCACCATCCAGACGGGGCGCTCCTTGCGCAGCGCGTTGGCGTCCGCCGCCGCATCCGACTCGCCGATTGTGACGTCGACACGAGTCTCCTCCACCAGCATCCCTTGGTTGCGAGTCGCCTCTCCAGACCATTGCTCGCCGCCAGGCTTTAGCTGCTGCTTATTTGTCAGTCTGAAAAAAAATACCCAGTTACACAGCGTGATAAAAAGTATGTAAAACAGTATGATAAAATATCATTAACTATATAGAAAAAATGATTTTTTTTAAATACCCTCGTATTGTGTTGATATCCACTGGTTCAGGTTCCAATATTTCAGGCGCCAGTTTGATGCCTTCCACTTCTCTCAGTAATATATAAAGTGTTTCTAGTTGTTCGTTAAATTTGGCGAGAAGTAATCTGGAATCCTTTTTCGGTAGCGCCGACTGGTCCTCTTCGACGATCTGGTTGCAGAAGGTGCATCGAAATTCTTGCGTCATCATGTCATACAGTTGATCCGCCTGAAATTTTAATAAATATCTCAAATTTAGACGGTACGGGGGAGTCGCAAGGGGACATCCCGATTTTTACCTTAATCTATTTGTATGGAAATGATTCTTGTATGTCTTACTTCTAAATCAGTAAATGTTTTCCCGCAGGCGGGGCACTTGAAGCTGGCGCGACTGGTGGCGTCTCTCTCCTCGGTCTCCATACGTTTGCGCATCAAATCCAATTTGTACTTCACCACGTTGACGAATGTCTTGTAATTTATAAAGTAGTAGTTAACCTTCTGCGCTTTGCCGTCAAGACCTATAAATAAGGATTAGAACAAATTGAGATGTAACACAAAAATATAGATAGGAAGTTTATGTATTTCGATACAACATACCTGTTTCCATTTTTAATCTGACTTGAATAAATTTATCGTTCTTCAGTGTGGCTATTCTCGCCCGCAACATCTTTCTCTCGAACTTTAAAAGCTCACAGATATCGTCTTCCTTCATACCTAAATAGAAAAATAATAAAAAATACAAATCAAAGCTAAATTCTTTTTTATGCTTAAAACAAGTGAATCAGAATGAAACTTACATGGATTTCTTACGAGCATGTCCACTATTAACGCATCTTCGATTGTGTAAAAGCCTCGCACGACAAGCCGCGCGAGCTGCTTCAAACTACTCGGCACCTCAGTTACTAGTCGTTCCTCCGTCATTGTAACTAAAATAACACAATGTACCATTACAGTCGTAGTCGCACAAGTCGTATAGTACAGCTTCAAATTGAACCGGTGATTTAGTCAAGATGGTACGGGACAGCTTTGGTTGAGGAATATACGGAACATCTCTTAATGACAACTCACACACGTCACAAGTAATGTTTTGCTTTGAAGAGGAAAGAGATGATGCATGGCAAAAAACCCTGTGCTTTTTTAGCTTATGTAAGTAAATAAAGATGAATTCTTAGGTAGATCGATATATCTTTCCCCCACCTTTTTGTGGACCATGAGTCAAATAGTCGTACTTGTGCAATAGCTTCTTTTATAGACTACTCTTGTAATTTTTGATGCAGTTTTCGTCTAAAAATAGTCATTATTTTAATTAGTCTGGGAATCGAACTCTGATGGTCAGTCGTTTGATTTTAAATACTATTCCCCCCAGAATTGTAATCAAAAAAACTTTCGAAGAATAGTCCATTCATGGAATCTTATAAACATTCTAGTTTAACATGTAAATATTTATTTAGATACGCAGTGAAGTTGCACAAAGCGTTTCTTTTAGCTCAGAATTGAGTGCAATGAATCGTTTTCTAGCCAGTATTTTTAATTAAATACTTGGTTAACAAGACTTCGACTTTCATGGCAATTATTCTGCACTGGTTATTTTGATCGATTGATCAGATAGTCTAGCTTGGTTGTATATTTAAATTGTTCTTAGTTTAAAAAATTATTCAACATTACACACTAAAATGTTTCTGGCCTTTCTATGTTTTTTTTGTAGATTTTATTGTATCATGTTTTAGTGCACAAGGTTAGAAATAAAACAATTAATAAAAATAGCAAAATACTCTTATTTCAGTAAAATCAATTGGCAGTATTAATTGTTTGAAGAATAAAGTAACAACATTAGCTAACCAAATTCAGTCTTGCAAAAATAACAAATTAATAAATCATCACATAATAATCAGCATTTGCTGGACACTAGCTGCACAAGACAAAAAACATTTTGTTCTTGTTACTTGTTGAATATGAAACAATAAAAGATTTAAAAAATGTCCCAATTCCTTCTTTAACAGATTTTCGTCGTTTTAATGTTTGTTCATTTTAACATGAAATTTGATATTTTAATTGAAATGAAACTTTGTTGAAATGAAGCCATTATTGTGTAATAATGATGGTGTAATCATTTGCTGTAAAATTTATTTCCTTAAATACCAATTTAATAGCCTCATAAATGACATTTGTATTCACATGCTATATCTAAATTTGTCTGAGCTATGTTACTTAAGTTCAATAACTGTTCTCAAACACATTATTTTTACAATACTTAATAGTTTTTATATCATAACTAATACATTTCTATGAATTTTTTCATAGTTTATGCCACTTTTGGCACCAAACTTTGTTTTTAATTTTACTTGAAACAAACATTTTTTGTACCTGAATGCATCCATTGCTTGTTTACGTTAGGGGAGGCTTATTATATTGCAAACACTGTTTTAAATTTCATGTTGAAGTGAACATGTCATAGTTACATCTTTCTGGCTAAAATTGTATCCTTAATTAAATGTACTCACATTTTGCAGCAAAAGTGCTGAATTAATATAATTACAAATGTGCATGTTTTCTTCACTTAGGTAATAAAGTTGTATATGCTACAATTTAAACATTAAACCATTTAAATCCATACAAAAATCTATAATTCTAATAAATAAATTAATAACCACAATTTATTCCGAATGAGTTCTCTCAATAATCATTTGAATGTTATCAAGAGTTTGGTATATTATTCTAAAGTTGGGGCGGTCACTAGGATGATGGCTCCAGCATTGTTTCATCAGGTCATATATACAGCGTGGAGTATTATCAGGGCAGGCAAGAACATTCCCATCTTTTAAAAACCTTACAACTTCTTCATGCGTCATTCCAAAGTAAGGTTGTAAAGCAAAGGAAAATATTTCCCACAAACAGACTCCATACGCCCACACATCTGATTCTAAAGTATACTTATTATATAAAATACTCTCTAGTGGCATCCATCTTACAGGAATAGCATCATGCTCATCTCCCTTGTAATAATCTTGTAAGTAAATTTTGTGAGATAATCCAAAATCAGCTATTTTTACAACCATGTCATCATTAATAAGGCAATTTCTTGTGGCTAAATCACGATGGACAAATTTTCTATCTGACAAATAAACCATTCCTGATGCTATTTGTCTAGCAATGTGTAATAGATCTAAATGGCTAAGGGGTGTGGCAAGTAATCGTAAGTCTTCCCTGTTCTCTACAACTGGTGGGAAGTTGGTAGCTGTACTACAAGCTCTCAGGTATTCATTCAAATCACCTTTACCCATATACTCAAACAATAAACACATGGGACGTCCAATAGCACACACACCTAGTAGTTTCACAATATTTGGATGTTCAAAGTCAGCCAGTAAACATGCTTCTCTTTCAAAATCTAGCTGCAAGTCGTGAGAGGCTTCATCCTTTAACATTTTCACTGCAACAAGTGTAAACTCTTCTTCTGGAACCAAACCTGGGGCTTTAGCTTGAAAAACTCTGCCAAAGGCCCCCTGACCCAGGTCTCTAATATAAATAATGTTATTTCTAGGAAATTCTAATTTTTCTAATTTTGGATTGAGCTGTGCTCCAGTTGTGTGATAGGCAAGGTTACTCGGCAGTTTGTCTAAATCAATATCCATATTTTGCATATTTCTGCGGCTTGACATACTAAATTTAGAGTAATGGCTTTTCAAAAAATAGTGGCACAGTAGAGTCACAGAAGCTATTCCTAAAATGCATGCTAGACCACCAATCGATAAAAATAAAACAAATGTTGGTGTAAAATAGTTCTCCATAACAATATTTGGTCCATCTATATTGTCAAATTCTTCACTTGAATTGGCACATAAGGGTATATTACAATGCTGCCACCTTATGTCTGGGTCCATAGTGTAGCACCAAGGTTTACGCTCCTCTCCTCCTGCATTTCTGCAATAATTTGTTGCATTCTGTACTTCGGGAAACACTAAAGGGGGTCTTGTATGTTGGTGAGGGTATTGTGATTCCCAAGCTTGACAAGCTAATCCATTTTCGGTAATATTCATAGTTCCTTGGTAATAGCGACCATTTCCTTTGATACAGGATGTTGTAACCTGACTATAATCCATGTCTGTTATGCCTGCATTGTTGCAAGTGACTTCAGTGCCCTTTCCAGATAGTTTTGGCAATTTTTCACATTCAGGAAGTCGGAAATGACCTCTTGATTCAAAAAACACTCCTCTGCGTTTTTGTTCTTCAATAACGACCCAATCATTGTAACAAAATTGCATTTTTACAGCCATACAATCTTCAAAACAAAGAGGTAGTCCATGGTATCCAGTTCCGTTTTTGTCGATGCACTTAGGGAACGCATAAGCACATAATAATTTCTCGGCCCTGCTCCGACATGGTTCTTTCAGGGTCGAAATCATTTCTTTCCAAAGACTAGTTGTGATTTTTTCATTTTCGAGGCCGCCTGTTCGATTATACCAAACGTAACCAGTGGTGTAATTTTTACAAATATGTCCATTGTATGGACCACAATAAAGATGTACTGATTTGGCAAAAAGAAGCACAATTATAACTTTGTAAAACACGGTCATTGTTATAAAATTAACAGTACTTCGATGTACCTATTATTAGATCGTTGCATTTTAACTCTAAACTTTGTACAACACGTTAAAAATACCACATTGGTTACACAATGGCGGACGCATTATTTATTATTGATTTTAGTTAAATTCTCGAGACATGTACAGTATGTCGAACAGATAAAGAATCACAGTCACAGATTATTATTATTGTAGTACTGCGACAGGAAACGGAATGTCCAACATTTAACAAATAAAACAACCACAATGCACGTACCCGCGATCCTGGACGATTTACATTCCACGTTGAATAAAACTTCATATTCATTCGGATTTGGATCCAATAATTAGTTGATCAACAATTAAAATCTATGATATAAGATTTTCTACTAAATTAATTATCCTGATTGTTGCAAAAAACTAATGAAATAAAGAAGATAAATGATACCGTGCCATTTGTTTTTGAACGAATATTTAAAAGTCTTTATTTGTTATGTTGGTAAGTCTAATTTTCAGGACCTGCTCAGAAAACGTCAAAATATTTAGATAGAAACATTACCTGTGAATGGCGGCGATTGAGAAAGTGAAGGTGGTTGTTCTTGGGGACTCCGGTAATATTTACTCCTTACATTTGTGTCTCACACATTAAACACATTATTTTTCATATTGTACACTATTACACTAAAAAACAGATAGGCGGAGGCACCATTTGTTACTTGACAGTGGCCATGACACATCAAGTTAGGCAACATTGAAATATATGTGTTTACTTTTGGCGGTAATACTTGGTAATATTTAAACTAGATTTCATGTATGCTACTCTATTCACATTTTTATGCTTGTATCTATGATGAATAATACTGCTGCAGTGTTAAATGTACTCCGAAATATAAGTTTTTTTGAGTACAGGGGCGTTTATATTTTTTATGAAAATATTAAAGCAAAAGTCGTACTTATTGAATTGTTGTTTTTAATTAAACTTTAGTTATCTTTAAACTATAATCGTAACATGAAGATTATATACTAAAATATTAAACATCATTTTAGGAGTTGGCAAAACATCACTTACATATTTAATTGCACATAATAAGCCACTGATATCACCAGGATGGACAGTGGGATGTTCTGTGGAGGTAAAGTTACACAGGTTCAAGGAAGGAACCCAAGCACAGAACACTTTCTTTGTAGAACTTTGGGATGTTGGAGGTTCAAATGGCCATAGGAATACTCGAAATGTTTTCTATCAACCTACTCATGGTATGTTTAAAATTGAAGATCATCATATTATGTATAAGATGAAATAGTATTATTATATTTCACTGAACTTTCAGGAATAATTTTAGTCCATGATTTAACCAATAGGAAGAGTCAAGTAAATTTACAAAAGTGGCTGACTGAAATTTTGAATCAGGACAGCTCTAATCCTACATTCCAGCAAGTTGATGTTGACCCTGAACAGTTTCTTGGTTCAACCCAGGTAAACTAATAGCTATCATAAAACTTAGTTTAAATGTTTTAGCTATTTATAGATACATAAACTAATTTGTTTAATAAAATAAACACATTTAAACTACTTTGTTTAATTTAGTAAACATAATAGTTTATGTACCAGTTTTAAATAGTATAGTTTCTTTTTATTTTTAAAAACTGACCATATTAAAGTTTAAAGCATTTCTTGATTTGTAGATGTGACATGTTACTGTTAATATTGCTTTATCAATGCGAGACGATAATTATTTATGCAAATCATGAATGTTGAAAGAGAATGTACTATGTTAGAATTTGTTTTAAGATACCTATTTTGGTGATTGGCACGAAGTTTGACTTGGCTGAAGAGAAACAAAGGAAAAATCAATACAGACGGCTGTCCAGTAGCATTGCAGAGCAGTGTGGGGCAGATGAAATATTTGTTAATTGTTTTCAAGCAAGGTCAGTATTTATTTAATACTAGCTAAGCTAAAATCCTAATTGATAGCCTATGTGTTCCAGATTATGTTCTATATGTACACCAAATTTCATCTAGATCCATTTATCCATCCGTCCATCTACACAATTGCAAATATAATATTAGTAAGATTCTTTTCTCTACTTTTAAAATACAATAACTTTTTTTACTGTATTCTATATTATTATCAATAAAAAGTTTTTTTTTAAATATTTCAGATCCCTGGCTCCTGGCACAAGTAACTCAGTGAAATTAACAAGATTTTTTGATAAGGTAAGTTATTGAAACGTAACTGCTTTACACAATTGCTGCCAAAAATTCCAGTTCTTTATCAAGTTTTTTAATGTTAAAGTGATATATAGTTATTGAATGTAACATATGATATAAAGTATAAAGGATATAACTGGCTCTTTGCTTTCACTTTCACATTTTTAAAACTAAATTATACGATCTTATTTTCTTCCAGGTAATAGAACGACGTTATTATTCTCGAGTGAGTCCGTTCTCTGATAAAAGACGTATACCTCCTTACATCATGGCGCCATCTACACCACTCTCCACCAACAAACCTCCGCAATATTTAAGCCCACGTTTCTACCATATGGATTGATTTAAAAAAAAACTTATTTATTAAAGTCCTGTGATTTGATACCGAAGAGAGGCTTTATAAAAGTCTTGTGAAAATTAATAAAGGCTTGATTTAATGTATACTTTTTTTTTATTAGTAATAACCTCTTTAGTAAAAATTCTTATAAATATGTTGATATACGGTATTTTGGATATGAAATGTATTTTTAAATATAGAAAACCTACGCTAATTACGTAACGTACAATTTAATTGGAGATATGTATTTAAAAAACGATGATGCTTTTGATTTTATTTTAGAATTTACAATAGTATCATATAGAATATTTTCAATTTATTTATTTACAGTACAACTTTGTCATTTGTAATTTTTTTCTTTGTAATTGTAAGGATCGTCTACAATGCCCATACACGGACATAGTCGACTTGTAGAGATGCGTCTTGTCCGTCGTTAGAGTTCAAGTTCCATGTAGGCAGCCAACCAGATCTTCCATTCCAGAAATCGGTTAAAGCCTAAAAATAGATATTAAACTAAACATTACAAAATTACAATAATTAAAGAAACGTACAGTTTTTACTAAAGTACATTGAAGTAAAAAAAAATTGATTTTCGATTTTTACGGTTTTGAGGTATCAGGGAACAGATGGAATCTATAATTGTATAGTACAATAAAGTAATTTAATTACCGTGGGTGATCCATTCCACCAGGGCTTGGGAACGGGATTTGAAACACCGTCAGGGAAGAAGCCGTTAGTACCACCGACCGCCAAGTTAATTATCAGGTAGAACTGAAAATATACGATTAAAAATTAATAATGAAGCCATCGCAGACTTAAGGAAATACATCTTAACTTTAAGGAAAATAAATCCTTTATTATGAAAAAAAAATTACGGTCGCCTTTTTTACGCCACGTAGGGTAGGCAATAAAAATCGCTTTAAGGTATAAAATTCCGAACAAAACAATTTGATAAATTCCATTCTATTAATTTACTTTAAATAATAAATGTTGTTGAAAGATTGATTTCAAAAATTTACAAAAGTACATAAGTGTACCTTCTGGTCGAAGGGCGCCATCTTGGAGCCGTAGCGCCAGGGATTCTCAACATTTTGTGTATCAAAGCCGCCGAGCTGCCAGAAACCGCCGCTGCCCGGCGTCACGCGCCCGAGCTCCACGTCATCGATGCTGAACCGTAGGAAGTCTGCAAACAAAAACATTGAAAAAGGTAATAAAAAATAGCTAAGTTCTTTAACTTTGATTTCATTATAAACGAGAAAAAAATTAAACATATTGTGTTTATATGAAAATTATTCATATTTACCTGTCCTACTTAAATCGCTGCAACTTAAATTGCAAATTATTAACGAAATCTTGCAAAATTTCTAAAAACTGCATCACCAATCACCCGTGTAAGGTAAGCAGATATTTACAATTTAAGTTATATATAGATTTAATCACCCGGGGTCCATTCCAGCTGATAGCGATGGAATGCTCTGTCATAACCAGCGCTGTTCCTGCGCACCCAATGTGCGCGCTCCCAGCCGTTGAGGTTAGGATAGGGACCGAAGTGAAGGGTTGACCCGGCTTCTTGGGTGCCGATGTGAACGCCGTTATTGAACATGTTGCGGTTTCCTCGGGACTCTACCAGGTCGATTTCGCCCGATGCCGGCCATGTGCCATACGAGTTGTAAGCCGGCATCAGCCAAATTGCTGAAATTACATCAATTATGTTTTAAACAATAATATTGCGTTATTATTTTTAAAATAAAGAATTGTATCATTTAAAAGCTTCACCTGCCTTGAGGTTGTTGGGTGCAGGCCTTGCTAACGAACTATGTGTTGGAAATAGGAGTAAGTATTAATTTTCAAGATTGGGTTTATATATTTATTTACACAGTAGATGAAAAAGCTAAATAATAGCACTACTTCATTTATTCGCGATATTTTGTTTGTTTAGTGTGTTTTAGGCAATGGTGCACAGTAATAATCTATAAGGTTTATGACGTACCCGGCCACAGCCAGTCTCCAGCGGGCATCTTAGCGCGCACTTCGACGCGGCCATAGCGGAAGCTGAAGGAATTGACAGTGCGGATGCGCGCACTCTTGATCGGATTCAAGATGTTGCTCGGAGTGCCTGTGCGCTCGCACCCGAACCATTGGGGATTCGTACATCTTTAATACAACATTTTTCTAATTTAATTTTACTTAGTTGTGGAACTGACGCTCGTGCTAAGCACTATTATGTTCTTGGCTTGTCAGCTTTTCAACTGACCTGTCCGCTGGTGCACCTCCTTCGATGTTCAGATGGCCGCTGGAGAGAAACGCTTCGCCGAACTGATCGGACGTCAGAGAGGGACGGATAAACAGAAGTCCGTTGTGAGCGAACGAGTTTGTACGGTTGTTGTTATAGTATTGGAATTCCCAGTTCTGCAGAAAAAGGGAAACATGTTTTGTTTTTACTTTCGTCTTGCATAATTAAATGGATTTTGTTAAAGTACGTACACCGCCTCCAGCGAGAGTATTTTCGTGTTGCCACTTCTCGAGATCGAATTCCGTGAAGTCGTCAGCGAAGATCATTGCACCAGAGCAGACGGTGACGGGCGCGTGTGTGCCGCTTACTGTCGTTACACTGGGTGTGCATGCTTGTCCAAAGACCGCGAGTCCCAGGACCCCGATCACTGCTGCCCACATATTGCTGAAATTAAGACAACGCAATTATACAGTTCACGCCCGTGTGGAACCTCTCTAAATATCTCATCTGCATGCCACATAATGCAAAAATTATTAAGTTTAAAATAAATCTTAATACATTTATAACCTAAAGGCACTTATAAACTACGATTCATGAAACCTAGTTGTTGTATTTAAAATACGATAAAGAAAACGCCGATTTTAAATACAAAACTGACACGACCGGTTTCTAATTCAAACACAACCACACTGCCTTGCTTTGTATTGAAAATAAATATTATTTTAAAGATAAAATATTACATAAAAAAGAAGTTAACTGACCCGACTATTATTTAATATTTAGGAGTTCCAAGAAGTGCTGGTTACTTATACTCTTTTCTACTGATAATGATATTGTAATATGTTATGAATATTACTTCGATTAAATCGATTTGCAAAGATAACCATACTGTTAACTATTTTCAGATAACGTAGCGGTGATTTTGATATTAATTAACTTTTTAAGTTGATAATCTTTTAGATAAAATAACTTAATGTTTAAACATATAAAATGCATTTAAATCAGCTGTTGTTGCTATGGCAGGAAGTTATAGAATATAACAAACGTGTGAACAAGACCTTGAATGTTGCATGAGCATGTCGTTGGTATTTACCTAGTGGAATTACAATTAAAAGATTAAGTCCAGCAGCTGTATAGTATATACCATATAAAATGAGTAGTTGGTTCAATTCCCTTGATATAGCACACCGGTACCACTTATGAAGGAGCTCATAGTATTAACTTATAACATGAAATGTATTTAAAATGCATAATACATGTAGTTTAAATTAATGTTCAATTCAATTCAAAGTATAATAAACGTTAAAAAAATAAATTGACTACGAAGGTCAGAGGTCAAGGCCCTCTTCGGTAATAAAAGTAAGACGTTTTGTGAAATCTTGACATAATTGTCTAATACAATACGCTAAAAACAGTTGTTTCTAAGCTGAGTTTTCATGCCTTTACCTATCGTTTAATAAAATTGATTAATCAGAAAATATGTGATCAAGTGAGACAAGTATCATAGTATGAAAGATTAAATAGCATAGCTTAAGTTGAGTGTTTATTTAATATAAATTAATTCATATACTATACTAGCTGTCGCCCGCGACTTCGTCCGCGTGCATATATAAAAAACTTAATATATAGATAAGTTCAATAAAAAGCAGCTCTTCAAAATTCAAAAAAAAAATTATTATCCTACATATGTCCTAACTAACACAACTGTGAGTTTCCATTGCTGAAACACCTGTCAAAACATATTATCAATTTAATTACTTATATAAAAAAGACAGATAACTTTATGTCACACACAGACGTCTCGGCAGTGGTTACTAGCAAAATAATTAAAAACAAACTTACTCGTTAACACACGTCATAGACTATGTTACTGTGTCAAAAGTTCCCCTTTATATAATGATCTACAAATAATTATATATTGTTTCAATTACACGGATCGAGATGAATCACACTTCTATACTAATATTATAAAGCGGAACAGTTTGTTTGTTTAAACGCGCTAATCTCAGGAACTATTGATCCGATTGGAAAAATTCTTCTTTTGTTGGATAGTCCATTTATAGAGGAAGGCTTTAGGCTATGTAACATTACGCTGCGACCAATAGTTTTTTTTAATTCCGCGTAGACGGAGTCGCGGGCGACAGCTATTAATAAATATATAGACTGTTTAACGCTGGGATTTTGTAAGATGACGTTGGTTTCCAGTTACTTTTGAGTTAAGTAAGTAAGAACGGTAATTACATTTGCGCGATTTACTTTGCTTCTGTTGTAAGTCATGCACAGAGAAACACTGGTATTGGACATAATATATTATTGGAATAAAGGGCATTGTGTACATTTACAGTCTAGTTATAATATATTGAAGTTCAGTTTTAATAAACAGTAACTGCCGATTTTTTTAGTAAGCGACACACCAAGGGACTTCTTACTGAGCAATGATAAGACTTTCTGACTGTTTTCTTACTATTATTAGTCAGCAGTTTAATTGTAATACAACAAAAAAACACTGTAGTGTAGAAGCGCAACAAAGTATTTAAATACCTACTTGAAGACATTTTGTATTGGCTGTTAATGGTTTGGACTTAAAGTATTAAAAAATTGAATTGATTAATATTTGACTTTGAATCTAAACGTCAGTCAGTCAGTAATAACATGTTATCATATTTGGTAGTTTTTTGGCAAATAAATTTTATGCGACTTATCTTGAGAAAAGTTTAAAAATGCATTGAAAAATATTTTGTTATAAACTCAAAGTTTTGCTATGGGGAAATGGTAAGTAGTAGTTATAAATATCTTTGTCGGAATCCTTCAAAAAGTTTTTCCCTTTTGAATATACTTATAATATTATATAATAATTATAATTCAACGTGTGTATTATTTTCAGATTGAAAACAAGGCAGTGTTTTTAATAAACAGACTTTTGCCTAGACCAACATCTTTGGCATTAGTCAAAAAATCGTATAAGTGCATCAACTATAATTCAGGACTAATAACTTCCCCATGCAAAACAAAATACACCAACAATTTGTATTTAGACCAACAGAAGTTCCCACTAAATTTCTCCCAGTTAGACACAAACAGGAACAACAAATCGAATCTGCTACAACAGTCAAAATTTTCATTGGACTTACTCAAAGCCTTCCCTAAAACCTTTACTGTCGCTCAAAGAGGTCCAAATAAAAGAAAAAAACGGGTCCCTAAATTGATATTATTGCAAAATCCCTTTAGATGGCTGATGACAAAAATCGATTTTAGTGTGTTAAGAAGTGTATGGGACCCATCATTTACTGAAAAAGAATTTAAATTTGGTACTAAACAGGTATGTGTTTCATATTACTTTATGGCTTTTCTTGTAAGATTCATATGACTTATAAATACAATTTTTAGGCTATATCAAGAGTTACTCAAGTGATAAGCGACGGCAAGTACGAGCAACTGAACGGTCTACTCACGAAGCCTGCTCGTTTAAGTCTGCTTAGGGAATTGGAGCGGAACTGGAACAATCGGCACCGCGCACTGTTGGCACTCAAACACGAAGACATACAAATATCTTCGCCAAGGAAAGTGTACTTCATACGGATTGCCGGTACTTACATATAATTACGTATTCATAGTAGCTATCCACAAATCACATTTAGTCCAGAAATTACATTTTTTTCTTATCAAAAATGTTCTTAAATTTTTTATTCTTTGTAATCATTCTTTTCTGAATCAACTGATATTGTTTCCAGATAAAAAGTTCTGCGACGTCGACATGTCTTTCCTTGCGCTTAAATGGACACCTATAAACGCCGTGGACTCGTTGATATTTACGGAGATTTTCGCGAGATTTCACCGCGAATACACACCTCATTGCATTCCGGAGTGGACCATAGCATATTTTAAAATAACACGATTCGAAGTTCTGCGACGATAGATATTGAATTCAACGCAAAGACAAGTCAAACATTTTTAATAACAATTAAAATCGAAATCGTAACAATAAAAATGTAACGTATAAAACGTGTAAAGATACAAAATAATTATTTGAACACAAATATCTGGTGATAAATTATATATCTAGTAAGAGTTTGTACGGATCTTCAAGATATTGTTTCAAGATGTTTGAAAATCGCGCCATTGTAACTCCATCCACGACTCGATGATCAGCTGACCAACTCACAGTCAATATATGAGCCTTAGCAACTTCGCCCTCGGAATTAAATCTGGGTAATACCTGCAAAAGGGAAAAGATTAATCGTATAAATGTGGTTAATATTTATAAGAACAAAAACATGCAATTGAAAATCTTAATTATATCTAAGTACCCTCAAAACAACTAGAACTAATAACCGTATAATATCAAACTATTACTAGGTAGCACCTACCTCTGAAAACGATTTCAAAGTATTATTAAAAAAATCTTGGGGTACTCCTATTAAATAAGTGAATTGCAATTGAAAATCTTATTTTTAAATTGAAATGTAATTTCGGTACCTGTATTTTTCCGAGGGCGCCAATGGAAACCTGTGGTGGGACGATCACTGGCTTTGCATATGTTCCACCGACCTAAAATAATTGAATTTAAAATTAAACATGCCAATGGACTTTTACTGTAACTAATTAAAGGAATAAAAAAATATATGTTACATAAGAGTATTTTCCTTACAATGCCAATGTTTGATAAGGTGAAAGTTCCGCCTGATAAATCGCTTAATCCAAGTTGACCTTTTGAACCTTTCTCTTGTAAAATATTAAGTTCTTTCGCTATATCAAGAATGGTTTTATGCTGGACGTTCTGAAATAATAGTAAAGTTTAAAAATAATTGATTTTGATCATAAAATTGTACGGAATGTTACAATCAATTATAGTTTTGAAACAATGCTCACTTTGATAACAGGGACCACCAATCCATTTGGCGTATCCATTGCCACGCCAATGTTATGATTTGCTTTGTAAGTGAGGTTCTCGCAAGCAGCATCTAGGCTACTGTTTAGAACTGGATAAGCAGTTAGAGCTAATGATGAGGCTTTAATGATAATAGGCATGTAAGTGAGCTTCACTCCTCTTTCTTGGGCTATGACTTTCAAACTTTCCCTCGATTCAACCAATTTTGTAACATCGTATTCGTCACTGAGGCCAAAATGAGGAATTTTCTGCAAAAGTTATAAAGTTGTTATGCAATAATATGACGATAATCTTATCGAAGTAAAAAGATTTTTCATTTTACCATTGCTTCTGTCATCGATTTAACCATGGCTTTTGTGAATCCTGTTATTGGTACTGTTTTATCTTCTAAGATTTCCTCAATTTTAACACTACCAAAAGACACTGCCATTTGTTTTGCTTCAACAGAAAGAGCGCTGGGAATTTCATTAGATTTATCCGCTGACATATTGAGATGCGCTAATACATCTTCTTTGAGTATTCTACCGTTTCTTCCACTTGGATTTACGGTACCTAAATCTACCTGAAAACAGATGTAATTAGTACTTATCAGTTTGTTATTTAACTATGCAAAATATGTTTTTTTATCTTCATACTTTAAATTGAGCTGCAATTCTTCTAACAGCTGGTGTTGTGAGTACTTTAACTTTTTGAGTTGTTTGGCTTTGTGTTTTGGAGACTTCAACATTTGATTCAGTATCTGAATCTGAAGATGAATCTGAAAGTTAAATAAGAATGATTTTATCAATTTATTAGCCTTTAATGATTACCAAAACTTCCATATAAATAAATTCTATAGTATTTATTTTATCGTCAATTTTTTTAAGGCATCTCCTAAGCCGTTCCGAACATTGCGCATGTAATTATTAGTTGCTCAATAATGTTAAAAATACATTTTCTTTCAAATTTTATAATCCTTTTTTTTAGTTACAGAATTGATGAAAGAAGAGCATCTTTTTCGAGCATTGTATTTGTGAATTGAAAAAAAACAAAGTCCAATGTACAGAATATTTATAGCTTTTAGTTATTGATTAATAGTTACCATCATCAGCTGTAGAGTCGACTTCAATATCAACAAGCGGTTGTCCGACGAGTGCTGTCTGATCAACTTCATGGTATATTTTGGTGACGACACCATCGTACCGACTGGTGATCGTCACTGCTGCTTTATCACTTTGCACTTCGCAAATGTTATCAAATTGTTGTACTTTGTCACCGACTTTGATGAACCTAAAACACAAAAATACTTTCGGATTTATATAATTTAAAATTTACCATTAATTTATCTTTACTACTTTTTTCCATAACCTTGAACCAACGGATTATGTTAATAACACGTTTTTTTTCTTGTATACAACAACAAAAACAGTCGTTATATTTATGTAAGAAACAATTTTTATATTACCCAAACAAAATGATTGCGTAAAAAAGGTTAATTTAATTCATGTTACTGATGCACTATAGCTCGTATTTGGATTTCGCGGCTCGGTATACGCCTCAGTGTAGCGCAATTCATTTTTATTCTCTCTGCACAGGTGGGTAGTTAGAAATCGAAGGTTCGAATCCGATAGTTGACAGTAGTTGAGCATCGAGAGTCGACGGAAGTTGGACGGAAACAGTTACAAATCGGACGTGTCTGTTTCCTAGCATAGAGGCTCGCTAAGATTACGATTGCGCGTTCGGTTCGATATCGACGCATCTATAGCGCACTTACGGGTAGTGGTGCATCGGGTGCATCAGGAGTGCAGGATTACTAGCATCTTTAGAATATTTGACAGCGACTTATTTGAATCGACTGACATCGACAGTGTGACGAGGCACCTGCAGGCGGTGAACGGGGCATTATGTTGGTAAGTGCCACTTCACTTACAAATTTTTATAATTTCATCATGTAATTGTGACATTTTTAAACTACATAAACAAAATGTTATCATCGCTAGTTATTTGCAGGGGTCGCGATAGATAAGACACGAAAGTGATAAGCAATTCAATCTGTTACACTACATATTTATATCTAGACTAAATATGTAATGTCAAAATAGAAATATTAATTAAGTTTCTATAAACTGTTTAATATGTTAGAATTGTGCAAGTTCATTAGTATGTTAACACGTTTTAAATGTTGAGTTTTTGTATACTATTTTACGACTGCATTGAACTTTTGCGTGAGTTACGCTACTTTTTGTTCGCGTATGATGAATTTAACCGAGAGATGCCGCTGCCCACCTTACCTACACAAAACTAATTGTTATTACGTTATTTCAAAGCGAATGACAGTGGCGATAATACGTATGTTCTTGTATGAAGGTGTTGGCAGAGGTATCACTAGATAATAAAGAATGCATAAAACAACACACACACATGTAATAAATACGTATTTAACCTAAAATTTTTGTTTTAAAATAGATTTTTCGTGTTTACCTAAAGAATTGATTTTTATGGAAAGCAATTTTTATTATGACTTAGTAACTACGTAGTACTACATTACCATTCTTTGATAACCACTTCTCGTATTCCTTCTCCGATGTCTGATAATTTGAATGCAACCTTTTTATTCAAAACTTTTGTCGTGTGGAAATATCTATAATTTACTCTATTATCTTCAATTGAATGCAGGTGTAAGGCACCGCAATAGCGAACCGCGTGACGCCTTTTCTGTAATTAAAAATATATATATTTAATAAGGTAAAAAATTACAACTTGTAAACAAATCATACTTCTCTTGGTGTAAAATTTGTATCAGGAAATTTATTTATCACAGGTAATAATGTAAAAAATAAATGATTTTCGATATTAGCAACGCAAATATTATACATGTTCACGAAATATGTTTTTTTTATATTACATACAGACATTCCGATTTTATTAATTGTATAGATATCTGAAATAATGTCATTCTTCTGTATTTCTCTGGTGAAATTACAAATCTAAAAGACGTATATACATAGAGTACGATATCCTAGTGTTACATGACTTAATATTGCGCAGTCAGCTGGAAAGAAATTTATGCAGTTACGTGTGTAATTTGAATACAAAGTTGAAAAATTTATCACTTTTTATATTTGTCATACGATAGAAAGAACAAAATAATTACTACAAAATTATCACATGTAATTTGACCCTATAAAATGGCTCTAATATTAAATAGCTAATTAAAAATCTAAAAGAATTTCCAAAAGCTAAATGTCAAGGTCAATTTTTTTTATCACTAAATCAGATCGCTTAGTCTCATTTGTACTCTTTTATGACTATAATTTTATTAGTGGGCACGATAATACAGGGCGATAACGTAAATTATTATTTACTTGTGATAACTTTCGGGTTTGTTTTGTGCGTGTTATCTTACATATACGACAGCGAGATGTTGGGCAAAAAGCGAAGGCGAACCTCACGTTGTTACTAATAAAGTTTGACCTGTCCACGCTATATAACCGGCTTGGAACAGACCGCATACCGGTTGACGAAATAGGCATATCTATAGATCATATTGGTTTATTTGATTTTAAACACTTTTAATGAATTAGAACTTAGATAAAACTGTTGTATAGATAAATATATTGTTTCAAAATGTTTAAAATAAACTAGTAACTTTATAAGTTAAAAAACGTGTTTCGGGAACTAGTTTGTGATATATTGTGGTACAAAAATTTATATACATAGTGTTTACTTATTGATACAACAATGATTTATAGTTCTAATTTCCAAAGTAATAATAAAGCACTTACACTTTGCACAAACAGACACAGTTTTCTACATTTGTTCACATTTTTTAAATTAACAAACAACTTTCTCATCACAAAAGCCATAGCGTTAATATTGAAGAGTAATCGAATAGATATAAAATTAATGTTGTATATGAACACGTCTCATGACGCGGCCATTCCAGTCCGCGGCGTGAGCGCACTGCCGCTATCGCCTCCGAAATTATCATCGCCTTTGGCATTGATTAACATATTAAACAATTATAAAGTTATATATTTCAACGTCTTCAACCATTACTTGTATTTTCGAGGCCAGCGCCCAAACTAATCATAAGGAATAGAACATTCCTTGATCGTTTTGTGAATAATTAAGTTTTTAAATACAATTAAAGAATGTACACCTTTATTTTTTTACGCTTTAACGCGGACGAAAACCCTGAATAGATTTTTGAGTGTGTTTCCTAGTGCTAAGTCTGGAAGAATATTTCTTTTTTACTATTCTATTTCCAACAAAGTATTTCTTCTTCTTCTTCTCAGCCATGAGACGCCCACTGCTGGGCATTGGCCTCCCCCAAAGATCGCCACGAAGTATTTATCTTACTAATATTATAAATGCGAATGTTTAGATGGATGGATGGATGTTTGTTATAAGGTATCTCCAGAACGACTGCATGGATCTCGTTGAAAGGCATAGATCTTGAAGAACACATACGCTATTAATTAAGTTTTAATTCCGCTCGGACGAATTCGCGGACGACAGATAGTATAATATTAACTGTTTATCCAAAAATGTTTTTGAGAGCAACTATTCATAGAACCTTAGTATAGAACGTTTATTATTGAATATGATATTGCTTTTGAATTTTGAGAAATGACACTAAAACATAATGTAAACAGTTGATTCTATATGTCGAGATATTATCTTGACGAGGCAGCCAAAGGTTATGAGTTTTATCTGATTGTGTAAAACTTGTGTTTTCTTGCGTACACACGACGTCATATATGATACGATATAACTGAAACATTAAATATTTTTATTTCTAGTGCAGGTTTTGACAAAGTTATTATTTTTTCTTTATGAAAGTTGTTGAAAGAATAAGTAGGTCCATTGTCTTACCAACAAGAGTAGATGCTAATGAGCTATGGTTAATAATCATTTCCACTTTTGTGATGTTAATCGAGCTCTTAAATGTTATCTGTTTGAAATGGCGACTTTCAGACGGTAATAGTTTGGTTAGCGTTATGTTTTTAAATGCTTAACATTCGGGGATCATAAAAAAATAACAATAATAAGCAATTGTTTTTATTAAAGACATAATAAACATGTTAATAAAGTGAATAAATACAATAATGTATAATCGATAACGATTATTTTATGTACGACAAAACGCAGGGCAACCTATGATACTGTGATGTTTGCCAGATCTCGAGTAAGTATAATACATACGACTCATATACGTGCACTAGTAGCTAGTGTTTATCACAGAGATGTTCTGTTAACCTTTTATTACAAAGTCCTTTTCATACTGCTGTTTCGTGAAGATTGAAGATAGAAGGCAGATTTGTGCTCCATTAATTATAACGTACATTTATTATACAATAGTTCTGTTTGAAAATTATAACAACGAATGTATTCATTCGTGACACTGGATGGATGTATTAAAAAAAATATTTCATTTAGCAATCGTCCATAGTCTATGGTGTTCTATTAGTCATTTATGGGATGGAATCATGGAATACATGTATCCAAAAACACGTTCATAATATGCCATAAACATCTTCTCAAAATAACAAAGTGTTGTAAGATAAAACAAAGAATATAAAAGTTGCAGAACGTCACTATTGCTATGCATTTACAAAAGGCTAATTAAATGCGAATATAACTATCACATATTTTGTGTTAACATATATCTTATATAAACAATATAGCATTTACACGCGTTTTTACTTCAAACAATCTGATTTAACAAGAAACAATTGATAGTTACAATTCTTGATATTTCATACCATTTAAAAATAAATTGCGAGAAACAGTTATGTAGATTTTAACGGCATTAAATTTTATATTTGTACTAAGTTATTAGCGTTTTTAGTACGTGTGTTCCTCAAACAAATTCGTAATGTATTTAAAGAGTAATTGTGTTCATAATTAGAGATACGACCATCTTTAATAAAGCAACATAAACATATTACAATTAATACAAAAATATAAAACATAGAAATTAATCCACGTATTTCTTTGAAGAAATTAAATTATATGTTATGAAATTATACAGTAATATTCAATTTACAAAATCTATCATATAAATAAGTTGCAGTAAGTCATACATCGCAAAGTGTCACCAGTTGTTTAACAAATAACTACATTAGTATAATCAATTACTGTAATGTATTTTAATAATAAATTACTTAGATTATTTCATTAAAGTGATTGGAAGAATATGATGTTAATAAATCACAACACATTGTAGATTTTATATAAAAGTTAACTTATAACAAGGAAGACATGTTTAAAATAATTGTACCTGAAAACTAAGTAACAATTTTTACAGCGACGCTTTAAATAAACCAACCTGTATATCAGTGGTTCCCAAACTTATTTTGTCTTCTGTCCACGTTGAGAATAAATATTTTTTAGCGCCCCCATATTTTCACATATTTAAAAACTTCAAATTAAATTAATTAATTATTGTGACCTGTATATGTATATTAACGGAGAATTCTAAACGAAACTTTTACAATAACCCGCAACTTAAGACCTGCAGCGCCCACAAGGGGGCGTTATCGCCCACTTTGGGAAAGACTGCTGTATTTAAAGAAATGTAATAGTATAAGTTTTTTACATTTTTATATACATTATATTTAAATCCAATTGTAATTCGAATTAATTCGTACTGTTAAAAAATAAAGCGACTTTCTAATGAAATAGAGGTGGTCTAAACTTAGAGATAGGTTAGAACATAAAGGTTATTCTACTATAATCTGTTGGCGCATGTTTAAAAAGCTATCAAAGCATTTAGCAGAATTTTATTTTATTCGGTACACATATAATTATCCTTTCTGTAACGTGATGAAACTTCTTGGTTTTTTGACACAGTCCTCTTACTCGTATGTGAAGTCGTTACTAATCTGGATCTTACAAAACCATATATGACAAAAATACACGATTCAAAAAGCTTTTAAATTTACTTTTCACACAATAAACTCGCGCGTTTAACGCGTAGACTTTGTGTTCGTAAAATTTGATGATTAAAAATGTTATGTTTTATATTTATTACTTCAAATCTAGGTGTTAAGTTATCAAAATTTCACTAGCCTTTTCCAATGTTTAAATATACCATAAGAGCAAGGCATAAACTTTTATTTAAAAAATCTGTTTTAAAGATGTACGACTCCAGCCTTAAGCAATCGATAAACCGTAAAAAGTTTACAAATTTTTATCGTGTTTTAAAGTTTATCACAACATCGCATTCTTCTTTTTAAATTTCATTGTAAGAATATAAATAAAATGTACGTTAATAAAAATTGTGCCATTATTATTTAATGTATTCGGAGATGATGTTGAGAATCGCATTATCATAAGACGACGAGGAACGATATGTATTATGCGAATGATAAAATCGTAGCTAGAAAAATGTTGAAAACATTTGAAACGTAGCTTACATGAGTTACGTTTTATAAGGAGTTTGGGTAGTACTCGATGTTATATCCTCGGTTTGTGAATGAAGTATCGTATGTCGTGAGAGGTAATGAGTGTTCACAAGGCTAACATTAATACAGACACTATTTGTCCGTCTATTCTGACACGATACAGTAATAAAGCGACGACAACAACAACTAAACACCGACGTGAATTATTTTTATTATTTCATAGTTGTGTTGACACCTTAATATAATTCCTAATCATCTTCAAGTTACACGATGACTTTAAGTTATACTAGAAGCGGATTGTATGAATTGTTTATTGTATCCAAATCGTTTGTGTGAGTGAGTTAGTTTTAATGTGCGTTCACGAATCTTAATTAAAATTGTGCCATAGTAATTGGTTTTATATAAACATAAATATGATATTACATACAACCATTGTTGATTTAAAAATTATTAAAATTTATGAGCTGTAAATTAAAAGTTTTAAATCATATATTGGATTGGTCGTATAGGACAATTTTAATAGTTATGCTTACAAACGCATTAAACTTTTGTCTTGTTATAATTCACAATTTGTTAACTATGGTACACAAATAACATTCGTTGTAATTGTAATGTATTGCTCATGTAAAAAATCGATAAAAAACAGGTAAACTTTTTATAAATAAAATTCAATCAAATTAAAAGTGGTTAGTAATTTTCTGTAATTATAATTTAGGCCTCAACTGTATTCATTCGTACCAGGAATAAAACAGAAAATGAACGTAGATCGCCCAGTGACAAGACATTGTGTATTATACATGTTATTTAAGCACTATGACTAAGTTAGTAACATAGTTACTATACAACACTTAATGACTGTAAGTACAAATTAGGTGACCGCTTGTATTACAAGTTTAGAATAAGGAACACGAAAATAGATATAATTTTAATGATCAACGTACTGAATATGAATTTTTTGCAGTAACTTTAAGATTTTATCACGAGTTTAACACATTTAATATTTAATTAATATACAAGTACTAACTAATAAACAATTACATTATAACATTACAATATTTTAGAATGTCGTATTTGATACACAAATACCAAGAATATTAAGTCACGATGGTGTACATCTCGTGTACATATATGTACATATAGTCGTGTTAGTATTTAGTTCTCTCTCGATCGCTCGCATCGATAACGCTCAGTTCTATATCGATCCGATCGTTATATTATATAGAGCTATACAACGCTTGAGCGGTTTTATTCAAATGCAACATACAATACAAAATACATTTTATTCTAGCTATCTAAATCTACTTTTCACACAATAATTACATTTTACATAATAATGTCATTATGAAAATTCAACAAGTTTAGCAGTCAGTATCACTTCACACCGACGACGTGTCTCTGTCACTTGCGGTGGAATGTCCCACTCAATCGTCACTTTTCGAGCGAACATAAGCTAAGTATTACACGTGTATACTGTTCTATTAGGAAGCTCTTTTTTTAAACAGGCAATATAAAATTATTATTTTCTTTTAGCGTTTAATTTTTACTAGTCTCATGTTAGTAATTTCCCTTATCGGCTCGTTTTACTGTACATACAAATGTGTTTAAAAGTCTGTCATGTGTGGCGGTGTCGTTCGCTCGAATGTGGGTTGATGTCAGGGGGAGAGTATGGATGTGGGCGAGTCTGCGTGAGACATGTGAGTAGTGTAGGGGAAGTGCGGCGGCTGCGGGGGCTGCGGGGCGGCAACGAGCGGCACCAGCTCGGGCTGGAGCCGCGGCCCGCGTCACACGGCTGGTTCCACCGCGCTCGGCGTCTCCGCAAACTTGACCTCGCGTCGGCGGTTTGCAGGTGGCTGCAGGCTGGCCGGGGGCGGTTGCAAGCTGGCTGATGATGCTTGTGCCACTAGCCGCGGCGGCAGCATAGCGCGCCCAAACGGCGATTGTCGCAGGAACTGACGTGCCACCACTGGCTGCCAATACGAGCTCCCTGAAATATTAGATGTTTTGTTATAATTATATATTCGGATTTTTAACATAAGAAGTAAAAGTGGGATGTGATACCTTTGGGCGCGGCGGTTCTGGCTCGCCAGGCGAGGCTGCGGAGTCGACCGCGGGCGCCTTCATGTACGGCGTCTACGCTGGCCGAGCGCGTCAGATGCGGGGGCACTCCCTCGCTATCCCCCGCGCCCGCGATGCCTAAGCCCTCGCTCACCGAATACAGCTTGTGAGTAATGTCTTTCCCTGTAACACAACATTTTAGGTACACTTCAATACAATTCGAGAGAGTGTTTATATGATGGTGTGCACATAAGAACCTCATTATTCGATTCAATGAGTACGCTTTTAGATTCACATCAATGCGTTGGGTAACCATTCGCTTTGAAGTGCTTATATTAGTGAATCCGTTTCATAGTCCATACTTAATATTAAATTTTTTCGACTGTAAATCTTTTGTTGCTGTGGTGGATGTTTTAACTAACATACCTATGAGACAGTCGAGCACGACCTTTAGTGCCGGCCGGTGTCGTAGAACACGTTCGAGTCGCATGCGTGGCCAGCACACGCACGTGCATACCTCCTCCGCCACCACGCTCACCTACATTACGCACACAATAACAAACATTATTATTTATATCAAAGACAATACTTACAGTCCTTATACTATATACACGCTATTACAATAAAAAATAGTAGCTTTTTTATTTGACAAAACGTTTTGACGACAATCATATTGGATATAATTTAAAGATGGCATAAACTACTTCTGCTTATATGTTAAACAATGATTTATCGATTGAACGAGTAAATCACGAAGAAAAGTATTTTCATGTCAAAATAATAAAAAACGAGTATCGACATTCCTTATATTTATAATCACGTAAATCGCGAGTAAGTATACGCTTTAGTATTCACTATTAGTGTAAAGTTATAGATAATTTACGTTAGCGTTGCCTTTGCTCGAAGGATTTATTTTAAGCTACATATTAAGCTCAATTTAGGACTATCCTAGTGACATGAGTCACCGATTTACAAATTAATTACACTTCTGTTCTTCCTATAACTGCAAACCGAATGTTCCAAGTGAACTTTCTCTTGAGTTTTTTTTATTTTTTAATTTATTTATTATATTCTTGTATCCTAGTATCATTTTAATATTATAAAGTAAAATTTTATTTAACCCTGCAAAAGCGGAATCTTCTATCAAAACAGCAAACTACAGCAAGTATCATAATTGGAGATGCAAAACAGTTTATCTTGAAATCTGACTAAAATAGTTTCACATCTAAATAATTCATTTTAAACCGAATAAATGTTATTCTAATTATTTCGGTAGATAAATCCTCGGTCGTGGGTCTAATCTATTATTCATGGCTTGCGCCGGAATTCAACCTGAGTGGATGCGGAATCACAATGAGCTGTTACAACGTTCTGTTAAAAACAGATGACTTTTGCACCTTTTGTTTCTTAGGTGTGAAAAGGTTAATGTTCAACTCCTGTCATTTCATAACCAACGTTGATTAAAGGGCAATTAGAAACAAACTGTATTCTTGCTCAAGGTCTTAAATTCAACTTTGTTAACACATAAGTAGATCTACAACAATGACGTTGATAAGATTTACATGCAAAACTAGTTTCCTGTTAGAAACCTTATCCATTATTTTGTTCACATGCAAGCGTCGCCGCAAATCTGATACTAAAGTTGAAGGTTACATTGTGGTTGACCCTATTAATGTTCGGCTCTAATACGTATTTCGGTGTTAGCATTGAAAAACAATAAAACGATTTTAAGCAAGGCTTTGTTTCTTAGTAGCTGCCTCCCGCAACTCCGTCCGCGCGGTATTAAAAAAAATAATAGTAGCCTATGTGTTCTTCCACAGTATTTTTTATGTCTGTACCAAATTTCGAGATCTGTACACCGTTACGGAGATACCTACCAAACATCATTTGCTTTTATAATATTAGTAAGATTTGAATACAATACCAGTATCATGTAACATGACCACAGTTTCTTACACAACCTTTCTAACAATTGAAATACAAGAGTGTTATTTCGTATTTCTTCAATAGATGAATACTACTAAAGCTACTAAGTATAATATGTTTTTTTCAATATCACGCGGACAGAAATGTGCGCGTGCAGCTCCAAAATTTCTATAAAAGGCAGTGAATAAATTACCAAAGTTCTAAATTTTACCTGGAAGACATCGTCAGATTGTTCCCTGTTGGCCTCCCACTCCGGCGAGTCCACGAACTGATATGGCTGTATGTAGTGTAAATGCGTCTCGTCACAGCTCACCCGCATTCTGTATTCGAACACCGCTGACTTAAATTAACTTAACACGACTTATATTTATGGTTATTAAATCGTTATGTAAAAATTGCTGCGAATTAGCAAAGGTTTTTTTGTGTCAAAATATATGCAGAGGTAGGCCTAAGAAAAGATCGATGGATTGCGCGAAAGATGACATGATCAAGTAAGGAGTGACGAGTGAGATGACTTAAACCTGGTGCGCTGATCAAATCAAATAGAGAAACTGTCATTGTTAATTGTCTCCGTGTCTTTTATGCCTTAGTTAATTTAATTACTTGAAATAAATTCGTGTACACCACAATATTTATATTATCATGAATGCAATATGACTAAAATACATAGAGTTTTAAAAGTTAATATAGATAATAGCATAGCGCGACTCTCCCTAGAGTTCGCGGCGAACACACTTATCGTCGAGGCAGACGACGTTAATGTGCATATGTTAAATTACTTTATATACACTTAGTCTATAAACTGAAGCATACATCAAGGTAATGTCTATATTTCCATTCAGACAGTAAAATAACTGCAAATATGTTGCAATGGAAGACGCAAGACGGTGGATTCGTCACAAATATAGTGATATTCGTTAAGAATCCACCGTCCTGCATACTTTTATAAGTGTATTTATATTGTGTGTATTATATTAGGATAACCTCAGAAAAATTACAAATATTTTTAGGTGGAAGTTTTTGGCTATATTTAGAGTTTGATTATAAAGTTTACGTCAACCTTGATAACGCATATGTATGTACCGCTAGCTCAACGTACCGCCTGCACTCGTTTCTGGTTCAAATTAACGTAATTATTTGCGGCCGCAGCGCCCTGCATAAGACGCTTTTGTATGCGATTTTAAAGCAATTAAGTATTTCGCTTTAAATTATTTTCCCGAGCCCCGAGTGCCGCCTACTCCAGTTTACTGTGCATTTAATTAATAAAAACACGACTCTTCGATTGTACTTCAGAATGTGTCGTGAAAATATTTGATTAAAATATCAAGACTCGATAGTTTTATGTATTTCGGGTTCAGAGAATTTAATATCGTAATGTTTTCCAAAGTAATTACTTACGTGTTGTATATTTAATTTATTATGTCAAATAGCATTACATATTACGGTATTCCCTAATGACTTGTAGGGGAATTGAAATTGTAGACACTTGCATTACGGGCATTGGCCGAGCCCTCAAGTAATATACGAGTATAAAATGTACAGACGAACTCGTTTCATCCATAGAGACCGCTTTGATATCGACCGTTGCACTATTTAGGAAAGGACTTTATGTAGATAGCTTTTTAAATTATTAACAATCCGATTTCAAGTAAGTATTTTGTTATCACTCTTTTTTATTAAAACGAAGCTTGTTATCTGTATTAAAGTTGCTATCTTAGGTACTAAAACGATAACAATTATTAAAGTTTTTTTTTATTAATTTGGCACCAAATACGAATCTTAGTTTTATGAAGCATATTAATAACTGAATATAATATAATACATTACTACTTGTATTTGCTGAAAGAGATTGCTTTTCCTCGCCGTCATTATTTACCAACCTAACAGGAAGATATTTTCGTCGTTCGTCCTGTGATTCCACGTGAATAAGTTTGAGAAAGATGGCGATACGTGTTACGTATCAAGTCACGTGTCGCGTTATATACGTGACGTTACACGTGGATACGAAACAGGACATGCGTGTTTTAAGTTCTGAAAGTTTCCTGACTGTTATCTTGTACATATGCTTTAGTATAACATTTTCGTACTTAAAATACGCCAGTTAAAAAAGTTTTTAATAGAGTTGATTATTCTTATCGATCAGTTAAGAAATATCTTCACCAATTTTCTTTGATGTATAATTATGTTGTGAATAGCATTGGTATCTTAGCGCCCATTTGCACGTTCAATATAATAAATACATCTATATATACATACTTTCCCTTTAGGAGTATTGAGAGCCTTTCGTCGGCGGGCGTGACGTCTTCTAGCGCGTAGGCCTCGCCTGCCTCGAGCCGCATGAGCCTCGCCTCGCGTGTCAGCTCTTGGAAATGCTTCTTGCTCACCTTCAGTGGCTTGAACAACTTCAAGTACAGATCCGTCAGCTCCAGTGACAGCGCCGGCGGAAGAAATCTGCAACAGTGGTAAAATGAGTCGCGCAGAGAGAGGCGAGTTTGAATCGTACCTTGTGTGTGATTTCGACTTGACTAATAATTGGTTTATCGTTATAGTATTATATAACAACGAACTCTTGGACATAAATGCAATTGATATTAGTAGCGGTGGAAAAAAAATTCAAGACATTGTTAGACAAGTTCTAATGTTGAAGGTAGGCATTGTTTACCTTATAATTAAGAAAACCGAGTGCACCGAGTTCACGAGGAGCACGGCGAGGCTCCAGGCGAGAATGTCGGGAGCGCACACCTCGGCGCCCGCCCACATCGCCATTAGCACCGCGCCCGCCGCTGCTAGCGCGCGCAGCACTAAGATACTCTGCTTGAAGTGCTTCGGCACGAAGAACGCCAGTGCGAAGCACAAATTCGCTGCCTGTGCATGCCGATACACAGAAGTTTATAAATGAAACGCATAACTTTAATTAAATAATTACAGTATTACCGTGTTAGTTTAAAAAGTAGTGTTATATAACATCATGAAACTGACCTGAAATAGGTCCTGTTGTGCGCTGGTCCATTTGGCGCAAAACCAGTGGTCGTCGCGGTCTTCGGCGATGGCGTTCAGCAGCTCGTAGTCGGTGTCGTTGGGGCGCGTCGCGTTGAAGGCCAGCGTGGCGTTGAGCCAGGGCGCGGCGGACGCCGGCGCGGGCGCGGCGGCCATGCTGCGCTCGCGCCCCGCCCGCGCGCGGCCGCCGGCCCCCCCGCGCTCCCCGCGCACCCCCTCGCGCACGACCGCGCGTTTCTCACCCGCCCACAGAAGACGATTCAGCTGGGCTCTGGCCTTCACTATTACCAGCTCCATCCCCACGCACTGCGACCGACTGCCGCACTGATTGCCTCTACTTTCTACCTAAATAACAATATACATTTGTTAATTATATATAGATAACTCCAAAAAGTTGGGCGCCTCTCGTAAGTCAACAAGGTTAGTGAGCCCCTTGTTTGTATATCGGCGGCATACCCGACTTTGGGGATACAGGTAGTTTCACTATTTTATTTTTCTTTTTTTATACGTCGCGAATCTTTCACTTGCATAAAACAAAATAAAAAAGTGTACAGTCGTTTTAGTATGACCTTAGTCATAATCGCATTAGCCTTGAAGTTCAATAGCTGGCAGTTTGACATAGCCTTTGCCGTCTTAATTCTAAAAATATAAAATCACCGTCAATGAAAAAACTTAGTTCTCTTTGCATTATAGCAATTTTCCAGAACTATAATAAAAAATTACGAACCTTAATTAGATAGACCGGTTAAAAAAAGGATGAAGTTTTGTTTATATCCTGGATCATATTATAATAACATATTATAGACTGTGTTACAGACAATTGATTTTGTTAATCAAATTTCCAAGGCAAGTCTCGGGTCTAGCTTATATAAGTGTTTCTTCAGGAAATACCGAAGATTTAAACATAAGCAAAGTTTTTTGACTCGAGTAGAAGTTGCAGGCGAAAAACATTCTTTGAATGAAAACATTTGTAAAAACGTTAACTTTAATATGTTTCGATAGTGGACTGTACACGTTGTTTACTTGAAATTTGTCTCTTATTTATATAATCTTAAAGTTGTTTAATTGGTTACGGTACAGGTTGCCGAAGTTTGCATGTATTTTTAAAGAAAATGTCTTTTTAAGAAAATTAACTTGTAAAACGTATATAAAAAGTATTGTACCCTTAACATATTACCTAGTGTACAAGCAATTTATACGAAATAGTTTTCCATATAAACATAGTAACAAGTTATACATAAACATTGATACTGAATGAAGTGTATTTAGGTCACAGTATTGGTCCCCTCAACATTAACATTTCGAACGCGTAGCTCCGTAGCAACGTTGCTACGACCCTAGTTCGCTACTAATATTATTACGCGGTGCACGCTTCTTTCATATTACTTTCACAAGAGCCCTAAATTTCGTCTTGTATTTTTGGCTTTTTTGCATTAATTAAGTAATTTCTGACTTGCATAATTCATATTATAATAATTATCATGGATATTCTCAAAGTAAAAGCAAAAATTAAATGTTTACTTGTAACTTAGTCTTACTTAGTATGTATTTTTATTTAAAAGGAATTATTAGTTACAAAAACGTAAATAATGCAAATGCAATCCATTTTCATGTTTCACTAAAACCTCATTATACAAAATGGCTAACTGATAAAACGCAACCTTCATCTAGGAATTCAAGTGAGTTCTTTGAATACATAGTTTTCGGAAGGTTCTTTGCATAGAATAAGGCGGTTTAAAATGTTGCCGTTTGGGAGGTCCGTTATCCGGTATGTTTCCGTCGACGTAAGTCATCGAGGTGGCAAGGCAGCGAAAGAGGCAGCGCGGGGGTGTCGCGGGGAGAGGGCGGCGAAGGCAGGGGGCTCGTTATCGTCACATGCATCGCCGCATTTGCATCAAATTGCATTACCTCAGGTCACTACGGTCGACACATTGCTATTAAACGGCACTTTTGATAGGAACGCAATTTTTATAGCGCTCTACATTGTGCCAACACTTAATGGCCTGTTTTATTATGCAACATTTCAATAATACCATTTGAAATGTCACGATAATATTGTAAGAACCTTTTTTGTGCAAGTGTAAAATACCTTATAAACAATTTTAATTAGTACATACTTAACGTTAAAAATAAAGGACTTATTTGACTGTTAGCTTTTCATTTCATTGCTAAAACTTTGTAAAAGTAACTTTGAACATCAAGTTTTTTTTATTTTCTCTCTATGTACAAAATTTTATTTAGTTATTTGCGATGAACCAAAAACTAACCTTCAAAATCTCACTTATTACGAGTAATGAATACAAAAATACACAATATGAAATCCAACGTCTCACAAAAGGGACCGTTAGAATTACAGGCACTGAGCCAATATTATGTGCCAATTATTCCCCTTCTATCATCAACCTCATTATCAACAGTTTACGAGTCGTTAAGGTTGACGGCGCTTAATGTCCTTGTTTTCGACTCCATTAACGATTACAACATACCTTTTTATACAAGTCATAAGTCTTTTTGTCCATTTGATTATAGTTAGGAAGAACACTATCTAATACTAACTTGACTGATGCATAAAATGAATCTGATGACTGCTCATCCAGTAATTGTACGTGCTCCATTGTATTGACGTACGTATATATATCTATATAGTCTATAACAATCGTATTCCAATATTAATATTGCGGTTTTAAACATAGCATGATAGAATAGAAATGGATAACTTGAAACATCGCACACTTATTTTACATAAACATGTGCAAATACATATTTTGTTCAGTATTTTTGACAAATAATTCTTAAAACTAGTTCTAATCTATTCCTTTTATATCGTGTCTTATACTCGTGGTTAGAATGTAGAACGGCTCTATGGATTTTGATGAAATTTAGTACATATGTAGAACATAGTCTCGAAAAAACATAGGTTCCATATTAAGTTTTTTTTAATTCCGCGCGGACGTAGTCGCGGGTGCCTGCTAGTGTAATATAATTGTCTCTACCTATATTACGAGGATAGTATGTTTACTCAGTTATAAGTTGGCTCAAGATCTAAGCAACGGCTAAAAATCACATCAATATTTGCCACGAAAGCATTACGTGATTCAAATACAAACAGCCACCCGGATGACGTTACCGAAAGTTTTGACTTCGATCTTGGCCGGTTGTGTGGAATTTATTACTACGTTTACAGAAGTTTTTGACATTTTAATGATTTTTTTTTGTAAATAAAGAAATAAATGGCCGAGTTAGTATAACAGTAGATATATTAAAGATCTACATGTACATATTTAAAAATGTAAAATAGCCTGCGTATAAAAATTAAAAAAAATCTTTATTAAGCAAAAAAAATATGGCCGTTTATCATACAACATCCTGTTTCTAAAATTTAACTTATATAGTGGACATCTCGTGTATTGAGTTAGCTTCTAATGGAGTTTGTAATGGCCACGCGCCATCCTACACATATATTATTTATTATTACAAAGATAAAGCAGTACTGGCGTTTAGTAAATGTCATTTTATTTTTTAAAAAGGCCTATAATGGACGATCTGATAGCTTTATCGTTTCATATTTGATCTCTTTATTTGATTCTGAGAACGCATAGAGATTTTTAAGCGGAATTTGTGGTATATTGAAGCTTTTAACCATTTTTATCGAACTTAGAGGTTTGCGTAGATGGATTTGGTTGTCAGAACAGGTATTCGGTACCAGTATCATTATATTAATATTTCTAGCATATAAAAATAAACGTTGTCGCTTTTTGAAAGAAATTGTAATTCCATATTTTTTTTAAAAATCTTTTTTATTGATTGAAAATACTATTTGGCAAATAAAATTTTATAGATTAAAACATGCAATTTTTAGTATTAGTCCTAGTTTACATTTGGAGCATATTTAATTCGACAAAAAGTCGATCATGACCGCTAATACCTTGATACCAGGGCTTAATTCCATTGATCCATCACTCATGACGGGACTATTTTATCGAATCCTTGTTACGAAAGACAGAATTGATGGATAGACCACAATTAATTAAAAATAAACAGGCCGGTTTTAAGCGAGATGGAAAATGTGGTTATTTTTAACGTGCTTCTAATAACTTATTTATAGATCTATCTATAAAGGAATTTTTTGCGATAAACTGATTATGAAATGTAAATTGTGAACTTGATAATTCCGAAATACCGATGAAAACAATTTAATAAATAAAATTTTACATTTATTAAATTAAACCAATCCAAGTATTTTTGGAAACTAAGATGTATTTAATGATTACAAATATTTTTAGAAATAAAAGCATCACTTATTTTGATCAAAGCACTAGATGGTCAGTAAGAATTAATCAATGTAAGTGCAATACGTAGGTTCACTATGTCGCTACGTACCACAGTAGTTACCGACACTTAACCTATTTCAGTGTACCTTTCTGTAATTGCACTACCCTCAAGTGTGTACTTAACTAACATTATTGTATGTTAATTGAAGTACTAGTCAAGTTTTGGTTCTAACATACTATTACATTTATAATAACGTCTTTTCAACGCTTAACAATAGTTACATTTCTATTTACTCTAAAATCATGACTGGCTAATGATAACAATATGAAAAGTAATAAAAGAAACAAATTAAAATTTAAATAACTAGACCTCTTTTTATTACACTCTTAATTATTATACATTACTTTAAGTTTAATTAAACATACTTACCGTGGGTTCCTCAGACCCAAATCCCTGGGTAAAACATATTTTTATATCTGTTATTCAAAGATAAGGACAGGGATGAAGATGTTTTATTTTGGTCTCAGAAACCTTCGGTACGGCGATGTTACGCAGATATATTTGTGTAGAGGTCCTCAGAATATTAAGTTGCGTAGAACGGCAGTTAAGTGAAAGAAAAATTGTTATCAGATGGAAATATTATACGAAATGAACAAAATTATTATATAGTTCTTAAAGTACAATAACACGGATGATCTGTAGATTTTGTTTTGCACAAGTTTATTTTTCTAAGAAATTGAATACGATTACCATTCATTATCTGTGAAGCTCGCTTCGAAATGGATTCGTTGTTGTTTATGAGTCAAAACAATGCTATTTATAAACTAAGAAAATACTCGGTTTACCAAAACTTATTCAAATAAAAGAAACCTATTTAACAGATTTTTATTACTAAGTTTCACAATTACCTAAACATAGGTTTTCATTGTTGAAAAATCTGTGAAAAAACATCCCTCTAATTTTTTTTCAAAGACTTTTATTACATTCTTGTATGTACCCAGTCTATTTTAGTATTCAAAAGTAATATTACTCGTGTAAAAAGTTTGACTTTTGAATTTAAGTCCAGAGAATATTAAGTCAACATAATATTACTTACAAAATATTAAGACAAATATACGCTCTAGGTAAGTAAAGTCGGTTCTAAGTTACGTGTACGACTTACAATGTTGTAATTCTGAAACTTTAAAGGATCTTTGTTTAACGTCAATGTCTTGGAAAGTTTTAGCGAGTTGCTGTAGCATTTGGTATTCTAAAACTATGTGCTGCTGGATATCTGAGACCAAACATTGTACCGAAGTATATGTAAATATTTACACCACTACGTCGATAAACATGTATGTATTGTATACGTAGTAAGATCGAGAATATGATGAAGGACGGTGTTAAAATGTGCCAAATGAAAATTTACAAAAACTAATTACTACATTAGTCGTGAACGTATGTTATTTTGAATGTTTTAAAATGTTAATGATCTAATACTAACGCCATAGGTCTCGAAAATCATGCGCAGTATACTTAAGAATCGTCTACAAATTAATATTGTTTATTTCTTCATTCAATAAAAAAAATGATAAAAATGTTTATGATTGAATGAACGTTTATCAATGTGTGTTGAGATGTTGTTTGTTTCTCATTGATTTATTTAAAGCCTTCATTTTGTAGTAGAGTAGTATTTTTTTGTTATTCTATATTGTGTAAAACAATACATAATTGTGCTCATTGAGCAAAAAAGAGCATCGTTATGTGGGAGATAAATAGTGGTACAAATGAAGAGCCGACATTCGTTCTCACCTCGCATTACTAATGGGCCGATTTAATCAATACTACGAGAGAGGTGCAGCGTAATGGACTCAGAACAAGCTTTATAACTCCAACTCTTTGGTTAAATATTCTGTTGGGTTGTCGAAAGAAAGTAAGTGTTTAAGTGCATAATGCATAAACATATTTTAATAGTAACAAAGTAAGGTTTACCTTAAAATAATACTAAAGTGCAATATTAACTAGATGGTATATCTATTCATCCAAAATTGTTGAAATTGGTCAAAAGTCAAATCAAAAAAAAAGTGGTAATATAGATTCAGTTCTTTAATAACTTTGCACCACACACATTCAAAATCTAATTAAATGATGCAACTAAATAACTCTTACATGGAATATCAAGAGATATACTTGGCAAAGTAAGTGAAAAAGTACCATTTAATATAATTTATAGAAGCTGAAAGAAGAGAAAAGTTATGTTAACCGAGAGGCGCACTGAAGTGGCGGATGTTGTACGCGTTAGTAATAATATATTTTCATTGCATTTTTATGTTACAGTCGGCTTCACATACATACACATATAAAATATGTATGTTACGCAGCCAACGGGCTTTTCGGGTGATAAAATATAAATGAGTTGGAACGGATGGATGGAATAATTTCTTTAACCCATATTCATTTTATTGTTAGTGAGTGGGATAAGGCAAAGAATACATTAAGCTTAGTCATGCGAGTGTATTGAAGTGACTGTTCGTTGGTTGGCACGCCCGCCGTCTAAGGCGACTGTCAGTCGCGACTACGCCTCTACTTTCAATGGCCTATAAGCCTCAAGTTGATCCCTTATGCTCCAAACAAACAAATTTTCTTCAGCGATAAAACAACTATCTAACCTACAAACAAGACATAACTAACTAGTTATAAATTGTTTTTAAGGTCTTTGTGATTTTTTGATATTAATAAAGTATTAACAAAACAAAAATACAATTGTCCTTATGTTAGTGATAATAACTTAGATCAGAAAAATAGTATGAGAGAGAAAAATCACTAGACTATATTCCTGTTTTTTTAACAGACGTGTTTTGTTTGATGAAGATAAAAAATAAATAACCTAAAAGACAAATTATATTCAGTACTAGCTGTCGCCCTATGCCAAATTTCGTTCTGAAGATACCTTCAAACAAACATCCATCTAAACATGCGCATTTATAATATTAGTAAGATAGTATACATTTTCTGAGAAAATTTGTGACATTAATTTACTAACTCGTTATGTATTTGTTAATAAAAGCTTATCACTGTGTAATTCGATAGTAGCTATTATAATTTTTTTAATGAAAGTAATATAAATGTGATGGTTCACGTTTAAAACAGGATTTTGTGAGTTCGACAGACTTAGATTGATGACGACAGCTCCTAGCCTACGGACTCCCAGATAACGTTACATGCTAAATGTTGCGTGACGAATCACAAAATGAAATCGTATACAATTACCAATAGCTCAGTTATTACATTTGAAGAAATAACTTAAAAACAGTAGATGACGACATTATATAAAGTTCAGGATGCTGTACGCCCTTTACCTAGTACACGATAAAATTTTGTTAGTGGGAATGAAAAAGCAGTAATATTTTCTCTCAGTAAGCATCTAACTGGTATCCTTTTACGTAAATTACTATTATGAAACTTCTTCTCCATATTATTACCGTAAGATGCCATGTTTACATTGCGATAAGAATTTACTTCTTCTTCTTATTGTTATTTTCAGAAAGGTAAATCAAGCGAAGGTCCTTTACGCGTGGAATTGTTTTGTTAGGTAAATTTATCTCAACGCACAATATTTTTTTAAATTAAACCTTTTATTAATAAACTTAACGATCGCCAACAAATATACTTTGTACTTTTACCGCTAAGCCCATATAACGTAGAGGTCCCTACGAGGTGTCGTAGCATTAGTTACCCATTCTACGCAATTTGTTTTCGTTGCTCACATTTATACTTTGTAAGGTATTTTTTATCGACCCCGAGATCGCAGCGTCTTTGAACCGGCGTTGCGAGACGCCGGGCCGCTCACCTGAGCAGCCGTCGGGTGGTAGTCCTGCTCCCACCGGCGGCGGTCGCGTATCTCGTGGGTGGTCGCTCACGGAACGTCCGCATGTCTCGCACTTCCATGCCGCACCATCATAAAGCACCACAACACGAGCGAGCGCGGCACGCGAGCGGCATAGCGAGCTGTCGAGGCGGCGGGAGGCGCAGGGCGAGCGTAGCGCGGCGCCGCGCGGCTCTACTGCCGCCCGCGCCCGCCGCTCGTCGCCGCCACGGGCGCGGCGCCGCACGCGTGCGCCCTGCATCTTGCTTCTCGCCCCGATCCGCACCCCGTCCCGCTCGCATCTCGCTACTCCCTACTTAGATATTATCAATAAAATTATTGTACGACATGAACTCGTCCGATAGCCGCAGCCTGTCAAATGTCTTATTTATCGACCGTGAAATCGAGTGATTTAAGTTTGTAATAAAACGGTCCTTGAAACAATATCTAAATTGCGATCCTCTAGCTCCTTAAATAAAATATCCAAAAGCTCGAGCTAAATTACATTTCGATCGCTGGACGTGATGTGACTTACAGCGTCTCTCATGCTATCAAATTGCTACCCAATTTTGATTGTGTAATTTACTTTATCCATTAGTGAGCTCAAACAAACAAAATTTGGATCAGACGTGATGATGACACATTTAACAATTTGTCTAGAAAAGAGGACCTTTCATCACTAATATAATAATATAATGTTCGCATAATCAAAAATTAGTACGATGCTCCTCCAATAGATGAATGTATGGTGAATGGTCCTATGACGAAAGGCAACTATAAAGTCAAATACCTTCTGAATCATATTTTAGGGAAACTACAAAATTGTATATAACATCTCTGTACGGACAGTATCGAAGTCTTACATAAGTATATTAAAGAGCCGGCGACTGTAGAGCGCGCTGGAGCCGTCCGTTGTATGTAACTATATTTATATAGACCAAGTTTATAATGTCGCCAATCTCTTGATTCATGCGCCGCACGAAGTGAAACATTTGTCTTTTACAAATACGTGTTTAAAATGAGCTCGTAAAGTTATGCATTCTGTCAGTTCAAATATTACAATGGCCTCAGACGTTCCGCAACTTTGTTGCAAGTTCGCAAAACTCATACTGGATAACAACTTTCATAAAAACTTTTTTAGATTAAGTACATATTTCTTTTTTACTAAAATCATAAGAGTTACAAAATGAGATTTTTTTGATAACTAAAGACATACGAAAAACTACAGCTAATGCTATCGAGTAATCTGTTATGTTAATGGTTATTCTTAATTATCTTGTATCAAAACGAACATTGGTGATCGTTTAACAAAGAAAACCTTGATATAATTCAATAGAAATCTGTTAACTTGCAGTTATGTTAAATATATACAACACACTAACAATAGCGTTTCGTTATTCGAGCACCGGTCATCGTGTGCTCGATTTATTAAACTTATGAAATATTAATTTTGCATCGTTTGTCGAGAATTGTGCAACATTTTATTTATGATTGCTGCAAGTTGCTCCAACCGATCATAGCCAATGGTATGAAGTAAATAAAGAGAATCTAATGTATTATATTTATCTTGCATCTCAAAAATTTCAAAACATTTCTGGTTCAACACTCTTTCAATATTACCCTTATTTTACAGTATCTGTAACTATTAATAAAATATTCCTGTGTTTACTTAATTTCGGTGTCGGATCGAATTGAGACATGGGGATAGTTACCTGATATATCGCGTGACGATTAACGGCTGGCAAGAGTCCAGTTCGCGACGATGCCTCCGTGACGCAGCCTTTCCGTCTCCACTGTAACTGTGGCCGCCAATGACAATATATCATTTCTGCATCGCGTCCCCTCGCAGTGACCGAGCCAGAGCACAAATGAAATTGAGAATCGAGTCCAACTTGACTTCAGTTGGAACTACTCTTGGGTCTATGATACATTAAGTTTAAAGACAATGCGACAGTACATACGGTTTTATACTACTTACAATTTACGGCTTATAAATAATCAAATCTTAGACGTTTGTATACATATATCTAACATTAAGGTAGAATACCATCCAATTTTTTATTATCATTTAATTTTGCATTTTAATTTAACTTCCACTTTGAAAATTGTTTTTTCATAATATAACTCTCCAAGAAAAAATTTAAGTCATATTTTGTTCCTAAAAGCAAAGTTGAAGTTTCTTGCTTGGAAAAGTTTTTTTTTATACAAACGGTCGGTCGCCATTGTTTTAATATTGAACGCTAATTAACTTTTGTTTTTCTACGTTACCGGCCTCAGCTGGCATCGGACAATCAATTTCCTCAGTTGCTCGGGGACCGAAATGAGTAAACAATTATAGCCCAATTCTGACGAGTTTTTGATATTTACTAAGACCAAGAAATTGTACAATATATTTTTCTGTAGTTTTACGCAGCTAAGTATTTTCGTGACTTCTTTTGTAGTTATTTCTAGTATTTCTATAGATCGAGGTTTAATTCAAAGTAAAATCAGTTTAAATTAGCAATTAACTTACTAAAGTTCCTATAATAGTTACAATACAACAGCTATTGAAATATTCAGGTACGTTTCTTTATGCTACTAAAAATAAAATATCTTATATAATTTAATTTAAAATGCATTGAAATATATCTGAGAAAGTCGAAAGATGTAAGTCTTCAGAGACGAGTGCCGCAAAGTAGCATCGGACGCTCAATAAAATCTAATCAAAGCTGATATATTGTGAGAGAAATATAAATAAATTGGCAAGGACTATGTTTATTATAAAAAAACATTTCAGATGTCCAATACCAGACCATTTTGATAACGAAGAAATTAAAGTCACTTAACACTTAAAGTCAGTCTAGTTAGTGCGAAATAATATAGCTTTTGCAACTTTAATCGACTTAATAAGGTTATTAGACTTTGATACTCATATACATACCTACTGATTAAAGCTCTATTATAAATAATTAGGTGTCGTTTGCGACTCCGTTCTCGCGGAATTAAATTATAAATGAATTATTAGCCTATGTGTTCTTCGAAAGCATAGTCTACCTCAGATCAGACGATCCAAGTTTCAGCGAGATCCATGCAGTTGTTTTAGGGATACCTTGTAATAAACATTCGTATTTATAATATTAGTAAGCTTAGTTTCTGTATTTCTATAAGTATTAATATTGTCAACCTCCATTGTAGTCCTATTGTATTAGCATTAGCTTACATGAATTTTAAACTAAATTTTAGTAATCACATTTGTGGATTACGCATCGCAACATTTTCTGCTGAAACGACACAAAAATATGCTATCCCACTCAAAATAGGGAAACAAAATCTAGTTAGTATTTCGTTCGCCACAAATATATAAAAGTATCATCTGTATTATTATGTTTTCTTTATTTCACTTGCTTTTTATAACCTTATAAAGTTAGAAGAAATAATTACGAAGGATTACAGTAAATAACTTTACAATTTATATAGCGTTAAACACTGATATTGTTTTCTTCTTTCAATTTGCAGGTGTGTCTACCCGTCTGGGTTCTGTTGGTGTTACTTACACTTATCTTTTATATCAAACTTTTGCTAAGCTATACTCAAGTTCATTTTCTTACGTACACACGGGAGTTCCGCTATATTTCCATAGAGGATAGAACCTAACACTCACTTTGATATGACAACGAGGCGTACTATACTAGATTACATATTTGTATCATATTTATAGCACAGAGAGCTGTTCTAGCTCGGTGCTATCAGAGCAAATGTTGAACGTAGCTTTCTAGCTTATGAAAGTACTAACTAAGTAAATTCATACCAGTCAACAAGAATTGCGTAACGTAACGTGATTTGTCGCTACATATTTTCACATTACAAAAGTGCAAGTTTAGAGAAGCAAATTCATTCATATGAACAAAGTTCCCTAGACCCAGAGGACGGTAAGTTTTCGTTCAAACTTCGGCTGGCCTGGCCTTTGAGACTAGTATAATATGTGTATGTGTGTGTTTGTATAAATGTATGCACATAGAGTTTGGCTTACCTTAATTATTACGTTATAGTTTATGACAATACAATGGTTGCTCGTGACTTCGCCAGCGCGGAAACGGTCATTCCCGCGCACACAGGCTACCTTCTAGTAAAAGTTCCGTCAAAATCGGTCAAGCCATTTCAGAGATACCTGGATAAACGTGGACTAGTGGACAGAAAAAATATAAATACATAAAGAAGACTGTAAACAAGAATAGATCTACAGATACGTTTCAATTTGTTTATAAAAGTAAATTTAAAAGAAATGGATGTTCTAATCTACACTTACCCTTCTGGGTAAAGGGCATCATTAATTATTATATCAAAAAGAAAAAAAGCGACATTAAACATATTTATGTATTAAAACTGAACACCACATAAAATATCACGTTATGTACACAACACAGAACAGTGGAAATAACTATTGAGATATTGGTGGCCGTTAAATCGGTTAGAAATAAATGTTGTGTATTGTGTCATTCGGTGAACGAGATAAACGTTTCTACGTCACATTTCACAACAATGCACCATTTAATATTCTCGCGAATTTTATTGCGTCACAGTAATTTTATACGAAGTATAATGTATATAAACACACATAAAATACGTACACACTAACGTTGTATACAAGAGTCATACAGATATTACACTTCTAACCTTTGTCTCTTCTCCTATATACTTACACTAGCAGTCGCCTGCGACTTCGTCCGCGCGAAATGAATAAATCTAGCAATTTATTCTTTTACTCTTCTATACGAGTATATATAGATTTATTACACCGTAATTTGATCTATATTAACTAGTGCTAATTCTAATAGAAACTTATGCAATATAAAGCCTTTCAAATATCATAAATAAAAGTATCCATTTTCCTAAAAGCTCTTTAATTCATTTTAAGGTTGCATTATGTGGAAATTTCTCTAACACTCTAGCGAAGTGTCTATATGGGAAATACCTTTCAAATTTTTCCAGTCGTGGTCAACGCAAACAATAGTGGCGATGGGCTTGCAACCTGTCATGGCTTGTTCATATATGCCTTGTAAAGTGTATTAAGGTTTGAACTATTGTTATCACGAATTATTGAAACAATCTGTGTAACATCATATTGTATTCATAATCAATTACTATCCACTTTAATATATTTAAT